TTCTATTCATCATCATTTGTATTTGATTAGTCCTCTCCTTCCTCCTACAATTTGTGTATACATTATTCTGCCATTCAATTTATTACATATTTTTCGTCTATGTGGTCGGTGGATATTATCGTGAAACCAATAAACCAATTGCAAACCAAACAATATCCTTTTGTCAAGGACGTTGACTTTTTTGCACGATGTACTTCGATTCCATATAATATAGTCACATGTTCAACGCACATTTTTTTTCAACCCAATCAATGTTTTTACAACATTTCATAAAGTTTCATCACATCCTATTGCCAAATTAATTTCTTCAATTTTTTACTTCATCTTATGTATATATATATTTTATTAGTACTGGAAGATCATGAGCTGACTTTGTAGCATTGAAATTGATACTTATTAATTGTGATATAGCTCTCACATCATTGCAGCAATCTCTTTGTTCTTTAGAGCGGTACTTGAGATCACATGTCCTGCAAGATTGTAATTGGCCGGCAAATATCCACAAACTTATGGTTTATATCAAGAAAAAGGATTTCAATAATTTTAGAAGAAAATCTTGTAGTAAAAAAAAAAAAACTAAACGTAAACATTTCAATAATATTACATTTATTTTGTTCTAAAAACATATAATAAAACAAGAAACTGTCAAATAGGCCTCTTTTAGATCATATAATAAAATAAAATGTTTTCAGCATGCATGGTACTTTAGGTTTTACATAGTGAGTGCCATAACTTTGAGTAGTATCATCGAATAATAACCATTCACAAGAGGGATTATATAATAATAGTGAAAAGGAAGTGTGAGAATATATAAATACGAGAGAGATGAGAATAAATAGAAAGACGTCCAAAAAGAAAAGAGGTGCAATATTATTAATTAGAAGAGGTAAAAGAAAAAGAAAAAAAAATGCCGAAGATGGAAATAATGGAGAGAGTTCTTGGTTGGAAGATGTTGCATTGATGGGGAAAATAAAGGTTCCTTTATATGGAAGCGTTATGAAAGATATAAGAATTCAATTAATTGGTAAAATTCCATTATATATAAGCTGCCCAATATGGCTGCTGGACCACACAATTTTCTTCTTGCATTTATCACCAAAACCTTTCATTTAATACCTTCTTCTAAATAATTCATGCCTCACCTCAGCCACACGAGACCTTTCATTTTTTTTTCTTTCTTTTTCACTTTTAATACTAATAATGCAACTTTCCAGGGAACCAAACTAAAACAAACTCATTAAATTAACTCTACCACTGGTTTTACCAAAAGAGATTTAATGGTAATTGATTTTGTGAAAGTAATTTTCACCTAATTATTTTAACGTTTGGTTACACTTTTCCAAGTAATTTTGAGTGATTAATATTTGAAGTTTAAAGAGAGAATTTCACTTTAAGTTTAAGTTTTAGAGGGAGAAGAGTTGGGGAAGAGCAAAAATTTTAGGAAAAAAAATAAACTGAGGTGAGAATTATAAATTTAGAGAGATTACAAAAATTTTAGAGAAAATTAATTAGAGAGTAAACGAAATTAAAGATAAATAAAGTTAGAGAATGCTCAAAAAAAAAATTCTCAAATTTTAAGGTGAAAATGAGRTGAAAATAGAAAGACACATTTAAATTTTAAAACTAATTTTTAATTATTTTTTTTATTATCAASAATGAATTAGGAATCACCTACGAAGTGATTGACCGAAAATCACTACTTAAAGTGATCTTGGATTTTTCCAGGATCACTTGAGAATTGTTGTCAAACATGTTACTTTAAAATTGCAGTGATTTGAACATTAGATTCTAGACGACAAAGTCACTTCCAAACATGCCCTAAGTTGTGTTTGAGAGTGATAGTAGAATGCATGATTTTGAAAAAAGAGATTAGTATAATTGATTTTTAAAAATCATCATCTGAGTGGTACCTTAGAAATAAATTTGAAATAATTTTAAGTTTTTCTAAAATCAATTTTCTTATTTTCTAATTTCTAAACGTTATTAATGAAAATAGAAGTGATTTTGACAATAAAAAAAATGATTTTAGTCGTGTCAAAAATACTCCCAGTTTAAAATTATTTTCTTGGAGCATATGCATATGCATGAAAATTTCTACATATTATATATAAACAATATCATAGCCACGTAGTAGGTTCTAGGTCGGGCTCCCCTTTTATTTTGGTCCTTCACTCGTGATGGCCGCCTACCATTTAATGGTGATTTACTTTCATTAATTGTACTTAATTCAAATCACTTTTTACGTACCATCCCACCATAATTGTACACGTTATATCTCAATTAATATTAATTTTCATTACTTCTAAACTGTATTTATAAAAATAAATATAGAATTAATTGGATGGTGTATATATATGGACTCCTCGCTATCTCTCTTTACCATCCCTCTACTTTAGTCTAAATTTTATACATTAACTTAATTTTTCAATTGCTAACATAGTTCAACCTAGATAAACTATATACCTTCAATCAAAAAATTGAAAGTTGTTGTAAAAGAAAAGAAAATAGATGGATAGATCTCATCTTAGACAAGACATAAGACATAGATAATAACTCTTGATTCATTGTCTTTGATTCTCTTGCAATTGAATTAAACATTATTTTACCTAATTAAATTTTTATATGAAGAAAATTTTTCTATCAGATATATAATAAATATTAATGCAAATTATAAAGCATATATGGAGATGACAGATAGCAAAATATATATATATATATATATATATATATCCGAAATAATTTAGATCATGATTATCAAAAGAATGTTGGTGAATAAATACTATGGGAATATAGGTGGGAGCTAGGGTGAGGGCGGCCATTTAAATGCATGTAAATATTATCTCAAAACACTGAAAATATATAATCTCACCATTAAAAAAAAAGGCACTTTTTCCCCCACTAAAAATTAAACCTATAGTTTGTAAATTTCATATTTCGTCTCATTCATTACTCAGAGAGTGAGCTACAATATTCCTTCTGTGTCGCAAGCTAAATGGCAAGAATGACAATAATTGAAGTTATTTTTTATGGCATATGCACTCTCATCCTTAGAATTTCAAACGGATGCAAATATCAAATATGAGTAGAAAATGTCCAAACTCTCACTCTATCTAAGGAGCTGTTTTTGCTTTTCTTTTCTTTTTTTTTTTATTTAATTCCTTCAATCTCTTTTATTTCTATGAAATGAAACTAATCCTGACTTCTCTTTAGCCGACATTGGATTGGTGTGGAAATTAAATCCCACCTTGCTTCTTTGATTTTAACATCTTGAAGACAGCTTTAATTACGTAGGAGAATATAATATTCATAAGGGAATTTGCAGTAATTACTAATCTTGATCAATTTTCTATTTGTGTGCACACTAACGCATTGTGTTGATAAATAACTTTTATTTAATAAATAAGTGTCTTAACTAATTGACCTATGTTCAGATTTAACTCAAGATTGTTGTTGTTGACATGATAAATGGAACTAGTATTGAGAATTGTCCCGGCAACTTACAATACTAGAAAATTTTGAACAAAATATACTAAATAATCCTTTGTCAATATCTCGTAATTGGTTTCATAAAATCAAGGGAAGCCCTCGATTTTTACCCATATGGTTAGGTGAGTGAAACCATTTTAATAAATTTTCAATTTCATCCATTTAAATCCTACCTTTCAGATAATAATACCCTCAATTAGTTAAGTTTCCATTTTTAATTTAAGATTTATGGCTGGTTATAGGAAATTTTCTTTTAAGATTTATGACTGGTTACCGGAATTCGTATGGTTGGACAAGACTATTTTTATAAGTATTGGTTCTTCAAATTGTATCAATTTGATGCTTAAAATTAATCAGATTTGGACAATTTGTCGCTAAGTTTGAGTATTTTTTTTTATTTACTTAATATTATTGTTTTGCTAATTGACTTGAGTTTAATTCTTAAGAGTAAAAATGTTATCTCCTAAAATTAATTATTCTGAAACATGGTCACACATTACATTAATTTAAGTAACAGTCTTGGTTTATTAAGCGTAATAATTTGTTAATATTTTTATCTTATGTATGCACTATTTATTTATTTATTGACCAAACTTATCTTCAAATTGAAATTATTTCATTTTCATTAATTATTAGTTATTAGAGCTAGAACTAAAGGGGGCGGAGCTGGGGAAGGCCCAAAAAGCACTTTGAAAGCCCATAGGTTGGGCACTCCACTTAACTAATGGTTTCAAAGGATAAACATTAAACATATATACATATGCACATAAATGCATGTATTAATTATATATGCACTCTATCCATACCCAAAAGATCGTAAGTCCAAATTCTTACCCTTATCATGTTGTAAAAAAAATCTAAATTTGCTATTTAATGACTAATCTAATTTTTAAATATTTAATTAAATTAGCTAACTTAGTTAAAGCATATGTATTATCAACCAAGATTCAAAGTTCGAATCCACACCACATATGTTAAACGAAAAAACATTTAATTTACTAAATCTCTGATTCTCATGCAAATAATGGTGCATTACGATTTACGTACGTACAAGCACTAATATCAAAATAATGTATTCATACTTTTCATTAACAAAAAGTATAAAACTACACATATTATTCACGACTTAGGCTACAGTACACAACTACACATCATGATTCGTGACCTTAAAAAGAACTTAAATATATATATATAATAATAATAATAAAATAAATAAATAAATAAATAAATAAATAAAAACAGAAATCTAAAGACAAAGCAGTGTATGAAATGGGAGAGAGATTCTGCTCCATTGCAATGGGACAACCAGCAACCGAGAACAATTTTGCTCTGCTCTTTGACAGACCATGCTCCATTACATTACTTCCTGTCTCTCCAAGCTTCCATCCATAAGATGAGATCAATTGTGCAGCTGCTGCCAAGTAATTTGCCACCATTTTCACCGTCTGCATTGAGTCTCACAGGGAAGCATAAGGTACCAAAACAAACTATTATCTCACCTAAGAACAGAGTCATTTAAATCAGAATTGTAAGAGGCTGCATAAACACCATGTCAGTCTAGATACAATACAACTTTTCTGCTGTTGCCTTGTCTAACAATCAGAGACTATAATTCAGCTCCATCAAACCATCACTTTACAACGTAGTTCCAACTATCACAAGCCTTTGAAATTTGTAATTCAGAGATCACAATGTTACAGAATGAAGGAAGGTTAACTGAATTCTAAAAATAAAAAATGGATCATTATGACTTCTGAGCCTGGCTCTCTCATCACCTTCCCAAGTTGAATCTTGGCCTAATATGTGTCTACTATCGTACAAATCTAACGGCTACTGACTTCGTTTTCTAATGCATTTCTGCATGCAAGGGGACAACCCCGTCCTTGATATCTTTTAAGTACTCATTCTCTGCGATTGCCCAACGACTCTGAAGCATTGTCCATTCTCTTCTACACCGTTCACTCACCTATCACAATGGCCATAAGATATCAGAGGACACATACAATAGTAAACAATAAATATGATGATGAGACTTTGTTGGTTGGCCAAACAACTATTAAGCAAAACAAGAGAGTTTCAGCCTTAAAATGAGATGTGGAGAGCTTCACATACCCCTACCCATGGTGCCCTTCCATTTTGTGATTCTCCCTACCGGAAAAGGAAAATGAGGAGGTAATTACAAATCTGTTATTTACAAGGAAATTGGGGAGGAGATAAGGTTACCAATTCTTTTCCTTTACCTGGCTTCCAAGTGAAGGCACACCCTGGTGAACAATCCACTGGGAATCTATAACTCCAATCTTTTCGTGTGCGGGCTGATTGGAAAGAAATAAGTTTTAATGGAAGTACAATTAGAACCCGCCAAATAACAATCCTCGTGAGCAAAGAAGGGAAACAAGACCAAGTTAGGCCACTCACATCCACACATCTTCTAAGGAGGAAGTCAAGACCCCAACCATGGACCAGATCATTCTAATGCAAAAACCGAAAAACATAAAATGTCAGCCAAAGGACGGTGGAAGAAGATGAGGAACTACTGGAGGAATTATAAAAAAGGCATAAAACCAACTGAAACCTGTAACATATGCCAAACACAACGCCATGCATCTCGGGAAAAAACTGGAGCCATGATCTCGACAAAACTGCACTAAGTGAATGTTGGATATAAGATGCCTACAACTTCTAGAATAGATCATTGCAATAAATAAAGAAAACCAACATTCAAGAGCATATCTTACGCAGCACAGGGAGGTAAATGAGGATCAGTGCACCATCCTGGTCTTTCGTCTGTCTCTCTGAAGGAAATACAGTGAAATAAGTGACGTATATAGTCAATATAATTATGCTGAACTGAAACAAAGAACTTCAATCCATTCTCTTCTTGTGAATTTCACCCCATTCTCTTACTTGTGAATTTCACCCCAATCTCTTCTCCTCGTCATTCGCCACGTTAAACCTTTACTTGGTTGCAAACCAGGTTGTGAAATCTCTAATCCATACTTCCTGACTAACTTTACATATCTGAATTGTTTTGCTTAGTTAAGACACAAGATAGAGCACAAAGAACATATTGAATCCAAAGTGCAGCAAACTCACTCATCTGCATCAAAATGATCCAATCCAAGGTCTTCATCCCAAATAAAAATGTAGTCATATGGTGCAACAATGTCAGGATGCAAAAATCGTTTGGCATACCACCTTGGCAGAATTTCAGAAAACTAAATTCAAAACACAATTTAAACATTTGTCCAGAACATGAATTAAATTCCCTAAAGCAAAACCAGCATAAAAAATAATATTGTCAATGGTTCCTCACCACTTTGCCTGCTTACGAGCACTAACATGAATAGCCCGCTTCGACCATTCGAATTCATCCCATTCTGATGTTCGTCCATCATAATGAAAGAGAAGGATTACGAAATTCTCTGAAAACTGTAGAGAGGCATATTTAATCTCTCAGATAAAAGGACACACACCCATACACACACATATACAGACCTTTCTGACTGCTCTATCAATATTGTATCTTTGGTTGTAACCAACCGTAAAAGCTACAAGATACTGCGGCTTGGTGGTTAGGTCCTGCAGAGGTCATTCTGATCAGAATCTGGTTCTTAAACTTTATGTTAAGACTCCACTGTAATATGTTAACATACAAATTAACACATATTAGCCTTTTCTCTTCCTCGTATGATAACAATGGATGGGGACATGACATGACCAAATTTTGTACAGAAGCCTAATTTTTTAACTTTACGTTAATATACTTGTAGTATCATACAACCCCTATATTGAAATCAGTCTCCTTTACAATTCCCTTTGTGCAATCCAAATATTAGCAAATATTATTGGTCATCAGCATTATAGTACTAACATTAGCAAAAATGGACATGTATGATGTATCTGGTGGTATTTTAAGAGTTTGAAGTTGAAGTCGTATACAGTTCATAATTTGCTAGTATACACACCTCACTAGGATTACCCCACAGTCTACGTGCATACAAATCTGATTCAGAAGAAACAATTTTTGGAGGTAGACTTTCTGCACCTCTAGGATTTGACGGGACCCAAATCTGCAGAGATATTACAGGACGCGAGTGAATAAAAATGTAGGTGGCAATCAATTGGTTTCCACAAAATAATGCTATTCAAGTAGCAGAACCTGAAACTCCGTACTTAGTGAGCAAGTATACATTCAGAACGAAAAGGTGGTGTTTAAGCAACTGTAAACCAGACTGATCTGTTTCTGTGATGATCAATTAGATCTACTCAACCTAAGTTACTGAACTTTTCCAAGGTACTAAAATTTCCAAAACTTCAAATTGTAGAAACCGGTCAAGACATTCTACGAAAAGGGGAAACAAGGGCTCTAAAAAGAAATATCTTTATTTGGTATGACATCAAAAGTCAAATCTAGAAGAATAAGTCAGACCAAAGATAATTTACGTACTCAAGTATTTACAAGTTCACCCTATCAATTTAGACATCGAACCCCACATTCAGGCAATAAATATGCATAAATGCTTCCAAATCCGGTTCATGTAACTTGCCTCTATATCTGCCATCAAAATCCATTCAATAAAATCATTTAACTGTAAAACACAGGGAATTGATATCTGTCATAATTAGAAAAATCCCTTATCCAGTTGAGTGAAAACTGTACTTGAATTTTTCAGTTGTTTTATCATTTCTAAATTATTTCACTCTTACACCACTATTAGCACATATCAGTGTCTATGTAATCCAGAGTCCCTTCAATAAATGATATGAGAATTACACAATACATCGTCACAAAGCATGTCAAACTCTACACATTAGCGTTGGTAATGTCCATTGCTAAATTTGCTACATGTGAAGGTAAAGGTTATTCAATGAGCACATGAATCTATTTCCCAGCTGCAATTGAAACCAGAGACGAACTTATTAATAAGCTCCCCAGTTGCAAATGATTAATTATGACGTATGTAAGCAAGCAGTCATGGACATTTTGTTAGAGTTATGGGATGGAATACCTCTGACGTCCCATTCAAAATATGTGTTCGGCTTGAGTTTCTATTATTATTCTTGACAGAAGGCTGAACGTTTAGAATCGGCTCCCTGGAGCGGCCTGAGTTTCTTCCTTCAATATATGGGAGACCGAAAGTTGGAAGAAGGCTGGATGGGAAATTTAGCTGCCAAATTAATATCAGCAGAACACGCATTAGTATACACACGGATCCCCAAAAAGATGAAGAATTTCCAGAATGTAGGCAGTAGGGGGAAAAACAAGAAAGTTTTTGGATCCTAGAGAGGAGGGGAGGAAAGTCAAATGTTCGTACTTTACTTAATGACAGCATTGGAAATGACACTCCAATGGTGAAGCCAAAGACTACACCTACGAATGTAGCCACGATAAGCTTCATGGTCAGGGCATCATTGGGTTTCCTACAGACAGGAATACAGCCAAAAATAGGAAATTTTCATTTAGCTTCCTTCACAATCTATATACAACATAAATGATGTCCAACGGGAGAAGTCAAAATTGTAGACCTGCGTGATTGATTGCTCATATTAATAGCCACGCCAAAACCTCTACCCCTGAATTCGGAGCATAGAAAGCCAAATTTACAGCAGAGTCTATCTGCAAAACTGACGAACGACTTCAATCGAAAATGTAATAATTAGAAGTGTTATCCGCTTCCAACCAGAAACTAGATCATTCGAAACAAACTCAAATCTAAAGAGTCCCCCAGGTTCAGCTAACTGAAGACTTGACAATTCTGGAAAAAGTAGAAATATGGTCACTTCGCAGCAAGCATAGATAGCTATAGAAGGAGCTGAAAAGGAAAACGAGAATTAAAGATGAAAGAGAGAAATTAATGAGGTTGGACTAACCGAGACTAGGAAACCCAGATAAACGGAGCAAGATCTGTAAGAAGTTGAAGTTTTGAAATCTTAAGGAAACTGTGGGAAATTTTAGGTAGACCCTTTGCAGTTTCAGGAATGGCCTTTCTTTAATTCGACACAGTCAACGGGGTCTTCATTCAAACTTAACTGCAATAAATAATTATTCATAAAAGATAATACTGAATTTTTTTTTTCTAAAGAAAAATGATAGTAAATTGACCTTTGAAATTCAGATTAATTAAATAAATTAGATACCATACGCATTTATGAATTTCACAATTTTGTATAAATTTTTTGAGTTCATGTACTGTAACCTTTTTATTCTTTATTATATTTTTTAAATTATAAATTTACGAGAGAACTAAAAATTTTTATAGTTTATTCAGCTCTATTCTTATCGAGTTGGTCCAGTCTTTTCTATTACAAAACGTTAAATTATTATTTGTTATTTGTGATAGGTAATAACAACGAGTTTTACTAATTTCAACGTAGCTCAGATATGAATTTATAATATTTTTAAAAAAGTGCGTAATTAAAATTAAAATCTGGACGGAATTAAAAAAATTTAGAACTGTGTGATTAAGTAAACTTAAAGTTTCAAAATCTGTAATTAATTTTTAAAAAGGTTGAGAGCGAGAGCGAGACCATTAGTATTTCGTATTGTGTGGTGAGTGGTCACGTTCCTTCCTCATAGCCGTTGGAGTTTGTGTTTCGAAAATCGAAAACACAAAGAAAAGAAGAAGAAGATGAGTGGATTGCAATCCAACGCCTCGGCCTCCTGTTGTTGGCTGAAGCGGAAAAGGCCTCCCAAGATTGAGATCCCTACCGTGTTGCAGGAGATTGAGATTCAGCCCCACAAACTTGAACTCGCCACTCCCCCAACCGATACTGTATCCTCCGCTGGGAATGGTGACCCTCAATTACTCTATTTACTGCTTACCTTTCTATTCATCCCCCTTTCTTTTTTACTTTGCTAGAACTAGAATACTCCCTGCTGAATAAGCTAAATTTTTCTCTGCAGATTTTGCAGATCATGTGGGGGTTTTCTCCGTCAAGGGCAAGAAGAGGTTCATGGAAGATACTCACAAGATCATTCCTTGCTTGGAAGGCCACTTGAATGATGTAATCAAGTTCCCATTTCTTTTACAATTCTAACATCTTAATTCACTTCTTTGATTAATCGTTCTTCCTTTCTAGGCTTTTTTTGGCGTTTATGATGGCCATGGGGGCAGGAAGGCGGCGAATTTTGTTGCACAAAATTTGCACAATAACATACTTGATGTGGTGGGCAATTGTACAAGATCTGCAGAGAAGGAGGAAGCAATTAAAGCCGCTTTCTTGAAAACAGACCGAGACTTCTTGGATCTGGTAATTGCAAATGGAGCTACATTTTCTTTTTACCATGCAATTTCCTGTCTATCGTGAACTCTTCTTCTGTTATGAAAATTCCCATAAATTTGTAGGGTTTAGGCAGTGGTGTCTGCTGTGTCACAGTTCTGATACAAGGAGAAGAAGTTATTGTTTCCAACTTGGGAGATTGCAGGGCTGTTCTTTCTAGAGGTGGAGTAGCTGAAGCAATAACAAAAGATCATAGAGTAGAACACGAGGATGAACGAAAAAGAATAGAAAACAAGGTATCAAGTCTTATATCGTGTTCTTCACACAAAAGAAAAAAGAAAAGAAGTTATATGTAATGAACTTGATTGGCAAGGGTACAGATGATGCTGACAGTAGAGAATTCTACTTTGATGTGTAGGGTGGATATGTTGAGATTCATAAGGGGGCATGGAGAGTTCATGGGATTCTATCTGTTTCTAGAAGCATTGGAGATGCTCATTTGAAGGACTGGGTGTTGGCAGAGCCTGATTCAAAGGTCCTACTTCTAAGTGAAGACATGGAGTTTCTTGTTCTAGCTACTGATGGGCTATGGGAAAAGGTATGGATGTGTTTTCTAGATCTTTCTAGAGTTCCTCTCAAGAGAAAATATACAGACACATATACATATATATAGAATTACTTTTTGAATTCTATAATAGTTTAAGATGAAGTCCTCCATTAAATGAAATATTAAATCTTCTTTTCAAAAGATGAGTTCAAGAGAATACAATGTAGTTGATATCATCTCTTCTAAAGAAATCAAAGAAAGTTGAGATCATCTCTTCAAAATATGATTGGATAATTATAAGAGAGAATCCAATGTAAAAGAAAACCAAAGAAGTTGAATCATCTCGTCAGAAAATGATATCTAACATGCTATGATAAAATCATCTTTTGAAAAGACATGTTTTCAGAAATAAATATAATAACATAATTTTTATTAATATATATATTATACAGATATATACATATGTACTTGATCATCTTATCTTTTAGTAATATTCAGCAAAATCCATCACGTGAGCGTGGTCTCTGTGGACCATATGTTAAACTAGATTGAGTTATTAGTAGGGAGGGATAGCACAATCAATTCGTGTACTGTGATGTTAAATCAGGAGAGGGGCTGATTGACCTTCAAGTTTTACTTACCAACAATAAAACCCTACCCCCTTGGACATTAACAGGGAATAAACTTCAACATAGACGAAGTAGATGCGAATCTTTAAAAAAATGTAATTGGGTACCGGGATATCCCGCTCAAAAAGGAAATTGAGTTCTGAATATCAATATCAGAGGATAGACGATTGTGTTGTTTTGGTAATTGATATTAACTCCGAAGTTGGCAAATTTTTCATAGGTTGGAAACCAAGAGACTGTTGATGTTGTGACACGACTGAGGTTGATGGATAAAAACTTTGGACTATCAAAAGGTTTCGTGAGAAGCATGAGCCGTGCTCATTGCTCTGTGAATACAAGTCCATCAAAACTCCGGAGAGTTTCATTAGTCGTGCAACAGAAAGGGGTGGGCAAATCTCCAATCTGTGAGAAATCAATTGACGGCTGTGAAGAAGGTGAATATGACTATTCTTGTGAAATTGAAAGTCCAGGATCCAAATCAAGAAGAATATCATTGGTCAGACATATGAAGATGAAGACGGAATCTTCACCTAAGGAGAATAATGGTTGCTACAGAAAGAGACCCACTTCCAGTAGACTTGTGGCTGCTTGTAAGGAGCTTGTAGATCTAGCTCTGAGTAGGGGTAGCCTCGATGACATTACAGTAATGATTATCGATTTAAGTCACTTTAGATGCAAGAGTCAATCTGAGAGTTCTTGTAACTTGTAAGTTTGTTTGATCTGGAGTTAGCTCTGGATAATATTTACTTTGACATTGTATTGATAGCCGTAAAATGATGTACAAAAATCTGATTTGATTCTTTAATTTTAGTTATGTAAGCACCAAACTGGGTTGAATCTGGTTCTTTCACTTACTAATCTACCGGGAAAATGCCCCCCTTTTTTCTTGAATTATACCTTATTTCTTTTAGGTTTTGTTGACATTTTTGTAATTCTTTTAATCCCAATAATATTTTGAGATTGGTTAGAGGAAGAAGGTGCCGAGTTTCTGCACCTAATTAAATTGACTATATGTATTTTGTTGATTTCTATCATCAATAGTTTAAGAAAAAGAAATATCTTGTTTATTCAAAGTTGGTGCTTGTGAACAGTCATCAATTAAAATCCAATCCCACCACCCCTTCTCAGTAATGCTCCATCCTTTTCCTTCTCCATCTCCATTTTATTTTACAGTGCGAAATTATGTGCTCACAGGAAATATCGAACTGGTGCTTTGTAAATTATGAAGATGATGAATGTTTAAGCCAGGACTTAAAACTGTGGTTTTAAGTGATATTGTTGCAATTATTGGAGAACTATTGGGTCAATTATACTGACAAAAACATAGGATCAGGTTGGAGATAACCCTTGTGGAGTTAAACATTGAACAAAGTCAGAAGGAGGTGGTGTCGAGAGGAGTAGGCTAAATAATGTAAGAGAATTTCGTCCCCATGCTTGGTTGGTTCTTATTCAACATAATAATTTTAACTTTGGTTAGTCACACACAATGACACACAAGTCATTCGGATATAGGGAAGTTGAACCTGTCTGATATTTTTTGGTTTTTCTCTGTATCCTTCATGTTCAACTGCAGGCAAGTGGGGTTATGCTTTATTGTTTTCTACTTTCAAAGTAATCCTACTTGTTGTTGCTCGTACAGTGAATGCTGAAGCTGGACCATTTTCTCTGCTTACCTAAACTACTGATATTTTTACATTTTTACATTATCTATAATTCAGATTCCTTGCCTAGTCACTTTCCCCAACAGTTCCACTGCGAATTTCAAACAGAGGAGGAGAAACCCAGGTAAAAAATACAAATCTCGAACACATTAAATTATTAGAATAACTACTGCTTACATAGTAAACCTAAATGATTTCCAAATTTTAATGAAGTTCCTCCTTTTTTTTTCCTCACTCACTCACATGCTTTTGCACCTCAAGGGACTGCCTAAAATCTTTCCTCTTCTATGAATTCTTATCCTCCCTTTTTTGAGGGATTTTCACATTGGGTGGAACGGGATTTGTCTGCTTTTTACCGTGCATGAAAAAAGTTTAGTTTTATGGAGATGGGCAGTGTTAAACCCATTATTGAGGCCAAATCACTTGTACAGCAAAGGAAATAGTTTTCTTTCTGTAGTCCTTTCCTTTTCTTTTCTTTTTTTTTTTTAAAGGAACATGGAAATGCTCAACACAGCTTGCAGAAGTTTTTTTTTTCCATTATAAAATTAAAATCCGTCCAGTTCTTTCTTCCTCGTCCCTCCTTTTCCACATTCGGAGCTGCCAGTTCAGATAATGGGTTCTCACCTCTTGGTAATCACAAACTGCCAAGAAGTTCTCTGTCAGCATCCATGAAATGGATCTCTGGGACGGTGTTAATGATATTCTAGTCCAGATCCTCTCTCTGCCTGCTTCTTTCTGCTTTCTAGTTTCTACTGTGATCATTTTCAGCTAGTTCAGCCCAAACTCCATTTCCAACTTCAAAACACAATTAGCTTTGTCGGATTCATACCAAGCCATGCATGATTCAATTGGAATTCCTGCTTGCTTCTCATTTGGGGAGAGGCCAAGTAATGATCCAGCTTCAGTAATCAGGTCAGGGCAGAGTGTGTTTATGTCAGTGTACCAGACAAAGATCGTTGGTCAGTGTCGCCTCATCACAATCACTTGGTGTAAGAATCTGCTACTTCACGGTCTTTCCATCTGTGTTCAAGGACCCGAAGGAAGCGAGCAATATCAGTGTAAGGTCGAGATGAAGCCATGGTACTTCTGGAGGAAACAAGGCTCCAAGCATTTTGAAGTGGATGGGCGAGCTGTTGATGTGGTTTGGGACCTCAAGAGTGCAAAATTCAATGGGGAGACAGAGCCACAGTCAGATTACTATGTTGCCGTCGTCTGTGAAGAGGAAGTTGTTTTACTTATTGGGGATCTCAAGAAAGATGCCTTCAGAAAGACAGGTTGTCGGCCAGCTTTGATTGAGCCGACGCTGGTTTCAAAGAAGGAACACGTATTTGGGAAGAAAATGTTCTCCACCAGAATCCAATTCCATGAGAAAGGCAAGCTCCACACCATCTCAATCGAGTTCATCAACGTCCACACAAATCCCAGTTTTTCTGATTCGTTCGATCCAGAGCTGGAGATGAGGATCGACGGGCAACCAGCAATCAAGATCAAGCACCTTCACTGGAAGTTCAGAGGCAACGAATCTGTACTAATCAGCAGAACAAGATTAGAAGTTTACTGGGATGTCCATGATTGGCTATTTGGGTCAGGTCCAAGGTACGGGCTTTTCATATTCAGGCCAATGTGTTCATGGTCTGAATCTCCATCATCATCACTTGCATCAGCATCGCCAACTCCTCCAGTTCCAGCCTCTTTAACATCAACAGGAATGTCCTTGAGAGAAGTGATTGCTACATCAGGGGATGTTGAGAGCGGTGGTGGGGCGTCCAAATTTTGCTTATTTCTTTATGCTTGGAAGATGGAATGAAGAATCCTGAATGTGCTTGCTTGCTAATGGAAAGATATGGGGAAATCAAAAGTGGGTTGTGCAAGTTTTACAAATTTAGTGATGAATCAATCGGATTTAGCTCCCAATTCCCCAGAAAGAATACAGGAGAGAGAGAGAGAGAGAGAAAAGAATATTTTAGAAGATTGATGAGCAACAAATGGACCCATCATGAGGGAGAGATTGAATTATAAAAAGGACAGGATTAGACATGCCAGATAGGAGGATCATCTTCAAGCCCAATTATCATCCCTATCTTCATTGCCCATCACCACTACATCATAATCTTACAGTGACGGGTTTGTTTTCTTTTTTCATTTTATAATTTTCTATTTTTGTGTTTGCTATATATATAAACTTGCATTGGAATGTCTACATCTACCATATGAATATATGTCCCCAAATTTCATTAAGATCTATCAACATTCAACACACATCTTTGTTTCTACTGGTCTTTTTCTTTCTTTTTTTTTTATTTGTTCTTTAAATTCATTCATAATTTTAGTAATAGAATATTCTAGAGGAGTATTTTTAACCTACGTGACAAACTTTTGCCTAATATTTTTTTACTTTCGAAACACATAATGACAAAAAAAAAAAAATTGTTCGTACGAAGAAAATTTAAGGGAGAATTCTCTAATGAGTGCAAGTCCGCTGGATGACTTTCACTTCTTTATGGAAAGCATATTTGGGAAATGACTTTCACTGGAGATCATTTATTTCTTTATAACGGAGGTGAAAATATTTAATTTAAAATTTTATTGATTTACTTATTTTCTTGTCCTATGGAACTCAACTATAGATTCTATTGGATAATTTATGTCCACTACTATTTGTTATATTTTTAAGTCTTTCCATCAAATAAAGATCTATCAAGTCTCCTGTCAAAAATATTTTTATTATTAGTTTTTTCTGTTTAATCAAATGTCATCTTTTCCTTGTTATTTTTACATTTGATTTTCGCCTTTTTATCAAAACAAATAAAAACCCAGAAGAAGCTTACTGTTACTGGTTGGTTGGAATTCTTGTCTTGGTAGCATCAATTTTTCTCCTCCTTCCCACCATTTCAACAACCGCCATTCGAATTAAGTCTTAAATTTTTTTCATCTCCGCAATTAACATAAATTATAATTGATTATCTTATTTCTATAAATTTAGTATTGCACAACCTCCTCGTAAATATGTTCTATCTACCAAAATAAACAATTTTATACTCCAATATATTTTATGGTAAGATTCTTATGTATGTCTGCCCACCTATTGCATAATATATATCTTTCACCCAAAAAGATACTTTATTTTATTATCATTTTTTTAATACAATATAGGAGTGGAGATTCGAACTCAATTAAAAATAATGGTTTCTTCCTAAAATGAAGATATCTAAAAAAATATTAAAAAAAAGACAGCCATATTCTCCCGTAGTTACTCTAATCTCATAAAACAACCATCACTAACCTAACATTAGTTAGATTCATCAATTGATTCTTGTTTGACCGTCTTTAAGTACTGTAATAATGGAAACCAATGTAAACAAAAAGACTGTTCGAAAATAAACAAATATTATTAAATCTCAAACAGTTTCCATTCTATTTATTATCCTAGATCCAGAAGTAACCAACAATTCTATGTTATTGCTTTAGAATTATTTTTAACTACAGTCAAAGGAGTAATAAATGTAAAGTTATTGTTGAAATCACTATTCAGAAAAAAGAAATCATCCATGACTGAAAGATGCAGAAAACTATTGTAAAACCAGTTCTCCAACAAGCTCAGAAAAGTCAAACTAGTAAACAAAAAGGATGAATGATACCAATCATTGGAACAACAATTTCGACAGTTTCTTTCATATGGATCAGGCAAAGAAAACAGCAGTTTATAACATCTCTCACGTGCAAATGAATCAACTTAGATTGACATGGCCATGTGCAAAATGAACCAAATTAGCTGTTATAACACAGAACGACTGTTACAAGAAAAAGAAAAAAAAAAAAAAAAACTAGGGAATCCCAACTGTCCGGTTATAATTTGAGTCCTAACCATAATACAGGCTCCTCAATTTCAACAAAAGTAAGAAATAGCAATTTTACATAGTTTGAACGAGTAACAAAAGTTTGGCACAGGCCAGTAGTACTCTTGCTCCAATTTCCAGAGCTCAAAAAAGAGAACCATTGTAAAAGGTGAGACCAATGTATTATTAGCTTCCAATATTCAAAAAGTAGATTATAAAATCAACGGTATCCACAAAGCAGCTTACCATCTATCCCTCGACCTGGAATAACAACACAAATGCCATATTTGAGAGTCAGAATGATACATCATTTCACATGGATTATGCAACATCAACTTACTTGGAACCAATAGAATGAATGAACAAGGGTAAAATTTCAATATATTCCCCCTAACTTCCTGCAGTACCATTGCACCATTAGGGGGAAAAAAAGTTTTATCCAAAGTATAAAAATCTAATTAAATATTTCCAGCCATACGCAACAATTAATATTTTCCCAGATGAAATAACAACCTTAAAACGTTTAAGAATCAAGTATCAACAAAGAGAAGAGCAAAATGACAAACAAATTCTAACCTCTCCATGTCTCTGTTGCCCAAAAATCCTCTATCTCTGGCACCTTGGAATGGTTTTTTATCATCAGCAGGTCTACTCCATACATCTGCAGTGCCACGTGATCGAGGCCTGTCCATAGACTCAAAGCTTCTGGACTCATCAAAGGATCCTTGAGAGGGTGGTCTTTCTGGAAAGACAGCAGCCCTACCTGCCCCAGAGCCAGGTCTCTCAGTAGCTTTCTTCCCAAATCGAACTTTATCATCCAAATCAAGGATCAACATCTCCAGTTCGTGTTCTTTCTTTTTTATTCTGTCACGCAGATTTTGTACGTCCCCAGCAGATTCTTGCACCGATTCTTTGTTAGTATTGAGAGATAAGCCTTCCTCAAGTTCCTTTCTTAGAATATCAATTTCCTCTTTCAATATCTTTTCCTCTTCAGCTTCAGGCCTGTGAGTAAAAGAGTAGATGCAGTTAAGTGACGAACCCACCTTGGAGGCTCCAAAATCAAACAATTCAGATAATACTAATAAATATTTGCTTTTGATGTTTTCACCTAATTCTCTCAAGGTAAATCAAACAATTTGTCCAACGGATTCGTGAAAAAGTGCCAATATTTGCTGAGTAAGCCACCAAGGGCTATTTATGACCTTTTACCAACTTACGTCACACAATCTTTGTCATCTTTATTTTGTTTAAAAAAAAGATTGTATTTCATAAAATTAAATGTTAGCAAGATAGAACAGAAGACACTTCTTCTCCAAGATTTCTGTTACGTAAACGAAAACTAATACACCAGAAGAAAAAACTGTTGTTATAATTTTCATTCCGTTGGGTTCAACATTTAGTTCTTGTATTCAAATAATAAGCATAAAGACGTTCGTTGTTTCCTAAAATCTAATCATCATCGTATAATTGTGTCTCTAATGGGGTTAGAAAAACAACTTTCTCATAACTATTGTGGTGTGGCCTAGTGGTCAATACGGGCCAAAAGTAAATAGCAAAGGACTTAGAAGGAATGAGTTCAAACCATGGTTGTGGCCATCTACCTAGAATTTAATATCCTACAAGTTACCATAGCAACAAACATAGTAGAGTCAAGTGGTTGTCTCGTGAGATTAGTCGAGTTGCACACTGGCCCGGCCCCTCACATATATATATATATATATATATATGAAAATTTCTCATGGCAGATTCTTTGCATCCAATTATTTGACAGCACGCAAGATCTAGCGATGTGACCACTTCACATCTTAGCATTTGGAGGTTTTGATTCGTTTACAATTTTGGCTAAAAGGAATCAAATGATTGAAGTAAACTACTCAGCAGTAACTGTAAGGTTAGAAAACTCTCTTGATACACTGTTGCTGTTAGTATGCATGCTTAATAATTCTGTTGCAACAAATTGAATTAAACATGGGAGTTGATGAAGTCACACCGACGTGCAACTTAGCATTGAAAGATACTTGAGGCTTGCTGTGGCAAAATATACTAAAGGTAACAGACAAGTGCTAATGTGGTGACCACATCATAGCATAACATTCAAAGATTTACACAACTAGTTCCAATGGCTCTCACATGGAATGTGTGCTTTGGTTTAGAATTTTTGTTCGATAGAACTCGATACGGTAGAACATTCTAGATTTGAATCCTATTTTTGCCAAAGTTTCACACTAATTTCATAGGCCTATATCATATAGGCCTTTATGCTTCCAAATGTTCTATCTTGGTGACTTTGAACAAAAATCAAATTTGATATTCATCACTAAATTTTCAAATTGCATTCATTGATAGAAATTTGGTGTGGCATTATGTAGACTTTTGTTTGCTATATTTATAAGTCTTATGGTTTAGAAATAGGGGGCCTCAGGTCTATGTCAAACAGTCTCAAAATTTAGCGGCAAAGACCAAAAATATATTTTAAAGCAAAGTTCATGAATGAAAAACAGAAGATATAACGGCCAATATAAACTATGTATAAAAGCTTATGTGGAAAAATAGGATTTAAACCAAAATTCTAACTGAACAACTGTGACTCAAGACCAAAAGTGATCATTTTAGAAAACTATCTTCTGTCATTTCAGAAAATCATTTACCATGCAATGACTCCAGCACAAGCAAATTGAAGGCTGAAGCGTATGACATATATGTTTACTCAAGTTCTAATCGTAAGATTATAGCTAGGTTATCATCTCCTAATCCTTGATAATTTTGCTCCATAGGTTCTAACAATGCTTTTTGTAACATAAATATAAATTATTAGCAAATTTACTTGAAAATGAATCTATTCAGCTGATGACATATGCAGCTTGCTGCAGAACCTTTGCAAAGTGAAAGATCAAGTAAAACTTAATCTTCAATAAAACAGCTCCAGCTTAAGCTTCATCCCGGTAACAACAATTGCCCCCGAGAACCAAATCACAATCCGAAGACAGAAAATATACCATGCACCTAACCATAACACAGAGAGAGCGTAGGAATGTTAAATGTGAAATTAGAACCTGTCAACAGCACGATGCTCAAGTTGAAGATCTATCTTTCGCCAGTCCTTGCCTCGTTCCTCCAGCAAAACTTCCCTAGGTTTGGCATTCCCAAATGGATTGACTTTTGGCCTCTGCTTCACCACATTTTCGATCCCCTGCAATCCTGGACCCTCCGAATGGCTTGATTGAGCACTCGAAGGCCTGCTAGAGTGAGCACTCGTTGGCCTACTCGTCCTTTTGGCCTCAATTTCTGTGTCCAGCTTCTTCCAATCCAACCCCTTGTCAGCCAAAACCTCCTCTCTTGGCCTTGCTGCTCCAAAAGGATTTGGCTTGTTCGTCCTTATTGCTTCATTTGTACCAACATCACCTTTCGGTGGATCCAATACTAATCGGGGCCGTTCTGTGTCACCATCACGTGAACGGCCTCTAGTCCAGCGATCAGGCTCATTCGCCTCACGATAACCAGAACCAAATGTGGAGGATCTCGATGGAATAGGTTTTTTTCCACTCGCCCAGCTATCTACCTCGTCGGCCCTAGATGAAACTCCACCCATGCCACCTCCGAGCGACCCATACCTATTTTGTCGACCTGAATCCAATGTAGGAGATTTCTTCGTCATTGCCCAATTATCCACCTCGTCAGCCCTCGATGGTTGATCGAAATTGGAAACCCTAGGAGATGGACCCCTGCGCTCCTCATCGAACCCACCATACGATCGTCGACCACCACCCCAAGAGCCATCGCCTTCATCACGGTCTCGAGATCGACCAGGAGGCAGACTGGAGCGACCATAAGTGGGAAATCCCCCACCGAGCCGCCCATACTGCATCTCATCAGCAGAGCGGTCTTTTGGACCAGTGGGTAGGCGAATCATCTCCTCCGGCGTCAAGCCCTGGTGCTCAGTATGCCTGCTGCCGGCGCCAGGAGCCGCAAAGGTCCCCATATTGAATTCCGAGAGCGTCATCTTCTTCTTCTTGGGCTTGGTGTTGGCAGCTTCCCTAAGGCTGGGGAAATTCTTGGATTCTGCTTGGGAGGCGGCCGCAGCAGCTTGCGCCTCTCGCTCCTCAGCTTCGGCACGCTCCGCATCGGCGGCCCAGGCTCCGATTCCGCCCCAGGGTTTTGACATTTTTCTGGGTTGGAGCTTAAGATCCAGAAATCGGAAGAATTGAAATAGAGGGAGAAGGAGAAGAGAGATCTAAAGGAAGAATTGCAGTTTGGAATGAGCTAGGCTCCGTTAATGGAGCCGGAGCTCAGAGAACATGCGATGGAAATAGGAACGGAAACGGTGGTTGTGAGAGGCAGAGGAGAGACGGTGAAAATTTTATCAAATTTCTCTTTTCCATCTTTCTCCGTCTTCTTTTATTATGGTATGGAATTGGAATTGGAGACGGACTGGGAGAGTGGGAGTCGTGGACTGTAGATTATGGGAGTTGTAGCCACGCGCTCAGAACGAGAGTGACCTTGCGGCGCAGTATCAGTAGCCACGTGGACGGCTATCGGGTGCTTCGTGTTCCCTCGCGAAGTAGAGGATTACTGTTCGCAGACTTCAACCTAATGGACGGCCCCGATGTTTTAAATCCTCCACTTATCTATATCAACGGCCACCATTCTTAGCGTACCAATAATTCGGAATCAATGCGATATTCAGTACCATGTCATGTCTTCTCTATTTATCTTTTCTTTTAAATTTCTTATTCAACCTAACGTTGCTTTTGTTTCAAAATTTGTAGCCTCCAATTTTCTTCATATTCAAATTCAAATACTGAAAATAAAGTTTCTGAATTTTATGGGACGAATGATTAAGCTAGGGAGATCAAACTATCAATTTTTTGACAGTTTAAGAGGTGCCATTTTTTCTTTAAACCATAAGTCTCACTTGTTCAAATTCTTTAAACCATATCACAATTTATCGATTAATAATTTTTGTTAACTTTTTATTAAAAATATAAATCTAGTGCAAAAAGGTGAGCTACATTAAATTTTTGTTAAATAATTGCAAAACATTAAAAGCAATTATTCAAATGGATTTTTCTTAAAAAAGTCATTAACTAAAACATTATATTTTAAATTTTAATTTTAGCAATTAAAGTATATTACGTAAAAAACACAATGGGATTAAAATTGTTTTTTATCCTCCAACATAAGCTTTTTAGTGTTTGATTGATATAAAATTATATATTATTTTCTGATTGGATGGATGGAGAAAACCCTCACAGTATGCTTTTGTATTTAAAACTCTATTATCATTCATTCTCTTCTATTTACTTGGGCCAATAGGATGGCGACAAATGGGCTGGCTTTTATTTTCTCGTTTCCTTTTCAAAATTTTCCATCCTCCCATCATTCACAGCCGGGGGAGCAGGACATTTTTTTTTTCTTAAATACTTTTGTCCAGTAGAAAACGAGCCTAATTCAATGGTAATTTTGTGAGTTCGAATTCCTTCGGACAACTTCCATTACATATTTTTTTTATTAAACAAAAAGATTACATATATTTTTTATTAAAATTTTGAGACATTAATTTTAACTGTTTCTAAGACTATTTGATCAGTTTTTAATATTAGAAAATTAACTTTTCAAAAATTTTTTGTTGACATTTTAACTTTTCAATTAATAATACTTATATTTTAAAATAATATTTCATAAAAGAAATTATAAAATAACTTTTCATGATAGATGGTCTTAAAAAGAAGTTAAATAAATGTAAAGTTAAACAACCCTAAGAATTATGAAAATCTGTCAATTGGAGGTTAAAAATTCTGGATAAAAGAAAATGTCATTCAATTTCAAGTGCAATTGTAAATGAGGGGAGGAAGGAAATTAGAAAATTAAACGTTGCCATTCATCACCAACCTTTTGTCACGTGCCTTAGCCTGGGCTTCCTGTAGCCAAGGCTGTGGGCAAGTTTCATTCGTCACCGTGACTGTATAAGTTCAGTTTATTTCTCCACAACTAATTTTCTTCTGTATTCTTCTACGGCACCAATTTATAATTGATTTCATTTTCAATTTCTCTGTGCTACCAAAAAGAAGATTGGTAAATCTCCAGTGTCGTCTTTTGTAGTTTCTTTTGAAAAAAAAATAAATAAATAAATAAATAAATATTTTATTATGTTCTGTTTCTCAGTCCAATAATTAACTTTTGGAACACTTTGTCCACTTTCTGTATTTTATTTTGTCTTTTGTTTTTGGTTTCTATTGTGTGTCTTCAAAAAAATATCAATAACTTAGGTTCACTTTGAAATCAATTTTTTTTTTCAATTTTTAGAGAAAGAATAGTTTATTAGTATGGTTTCATGTTACTTTCTACTTTAAAAAATGTAATCATATTAAAACTACGAAACTGTTCGAGAGATACTCCCGGTGAGTTTTAAACATTATGGAAGAAGCCCAATCAAATATCGACTGTTAAATGTTAACGAATGAGATGAGAATCATGAGATATCGCCGATATCATATCGGTACTATTTAAAACCCATGGAAGTACACATGATCTTTCATGCCAACCGAAGGAAGCCAAACTCAACTCAAATATCAAAAAGTATTTAGTATAATCCAAGCTTCGTTTAATGATTACATGTTACAAGTTACAATCAAATTTAGGTATACCTGTTGAGTGTTGGTGTGGTCAGATTATCGTAACTTTTTTCAATTCAGACAGGAAATAGAATGATTAATTTACTTCTGCTGCTTTTCAAATTTTGGATCATGGAGTCGACGCCATCAGCGATGATGAACGGTGATGATAAAAGGCTCCAATGGCGGCTTCGGTTCACTTCTAGAGACCAGAGCGTTGGTCCTCATTTGCATACTCATCATCACATTTTGCCATGTATTCACCCTAGATATCGCTTTTCCGTGCAATCCAACATTCACAGCGTCCAAATCATCGCTCCTCACCTTCAACACCTCCAATGGCTCCGCGCCATCCAACATCCAGATCAAGCAGGAACAATATCCCTTCGCGATCTCTGAATCGCTATCCGCTTTAAATCTCATTCGCTCGAACTCATCAATTTTCACATCCAACCACACCTGCGTCGYGCATCCCTTGACTCGATTCTCCGGCAGTCGAATCGATTCGTCCGAAGGATCAAGAATCGCTGCGTAATGCAACAGTCGTTTCACCCGGTCAATCGGCTCCAAAAGAGACTCGAATTCCAGAACAAGCCGATGAATCTTATCGGCCACTAACTCAGACGCATAAACCGGAATTGTAATCGCATCGAGATCGCACTTAGGGCGTCGACTACATAATTTATTGGAGGAAGTGACATTAAGATCATGAGATATAGCGCATCTTACAGATTTGGATGCGAGAAATCTCGTGTTTTCTACTTGACGAAAGCGAATTCGTTCAAAAGAAAGCTTGGATGAATCTGAAAACTCGGCGAAGCCAAAACCACAAGAAGTAATTATAGGGATTGAACTCATGTTTGGAAGGAAAGAAGAGGAAAAAAGGAGCACAAAACTTGAAAAATTAGAAAATAGGAGGAGATTAAAAACGGAGGTAGTTACGTTTGAGCAAGTAAAATGGAGATCCTCAAATTCCGCCGCCACTCTCTACTCCTCTCCACACCTGGTCCGTCATCACTGCCATAATTTAGCTCCGCGCTGCCTGTAATTCCACGATCGAACCCGCGAGTATTTATAGAGCTAACCGGGGAAGTTTCCGGGAAGAGCAATTGGGCTTGGTGGGCCCCCACCAGATATATAGCCGATTCTGGGCCCATGAAGTCCATCGAATTGAAAGGCCCCAAAAAGTGGGACCTGTGTGTCTCTTAATTATTAATCGATGCAACTTGCACTCAATAATTTAATACGAAAAAGTTTTGTCCGTAGGCGTCCGTCACCACTTACGAAACAACGAATAAGATAACATTTTAAATTTATTAATGTTTTGTGTATCTTCTTTTTTATATCAATTCCATAAATATTTACCGGATTAAAAGTTCGTCGCCCTATATGGGAAAGTCTGAAAATATTTCTCTCTAATAATAAGAATTAAAAATAACAAAGGTTTAGATTGCAGAAAATAAGATGGAGTGTAATTTGGGATGTTGAATAAATGATTTTGATTCAATTAACATTTTAATAACTAAAAGGTGAGAGTATTGGTGTACAGTTATCCACTTCCACTATGCACATAAAAGATTGGTTTTTGTTTCGGGACAAAGCACTTAAAAAATTGATTAAAGTGAAGCTTCCGATGAATTCCGTGAGCTCGGCGGCTGGCTTTGCTTATGATTAAATTAACTACCTGTTTATAATTAACATTAAAATATTATTGTAGTTGATTATCTTTTCCATTGAATGGGGACAGTTTTCGTTTTAAAAAAAAAAAAAACATTCTTTTAGATATCTTAGAATTTGGATGACTTTTGAAAATAATAATTATTTCGAAAGGCTTAAAATTAAAAAATTTAAAGTTTCATTTACTAATTCTAAAAACACCAATGAAATATTTTTAAAGTATTTTCAAATTGCTAAAAGCTTTTTTTTTTTATTACTATTATGAGAATTATGCTACACTCACATCCAACAACGAAAATGTTATCTTTCAAAAAAGACAAAAATGTATTCCAGAAAATAACAAAAATAGATATATGCAAATAATATATTTAGAGAAAAGTGAATGGAAAAATATGTTTAAAATAGTAAATATTCTAAAAGGAAGATATTAGCGAGAAGAAAGAAGCAATCATTGTTAATTATGTATTTGTTAACCGGTTATAAATTGTTACAGTTTATTTTAGATTAGTCGAATCAGTTGTAAGGTGTGAAGCCATAACTGTCTATTTAAAAGTACTAGAAAAAAAAAAAAAAAACTGTCTATTTAAAGGCTCAATGTACATTTTAAAATTTTCCATTCAATAAATATTTCCTTTCACATGTCAGTGTAAGATATTAATCACGACCTCACATAAACATATTTGAAAAACATGATCATGATGCGATGAGGTCATTGCTTAGGTTTGGCAAATATAATCAAAATAGTACTAGGAAAAGTCTTCAAATTGGGATTTAACAAACTATACATACACAAAATAGTCTTAAAATTAATTAGAAAATCTTAATTTCATGTCATTTCATCTCTATTCATCTCTCTAACTCTATGCCTGCAGTCAACAGACCAGGCATCCCACCTTTATAGTTTTGATTATGGCAGCTAATTTAAAATCTTCATTTCCATGATGTTTAAGCATCAATAGCAAGTTTTTGCTCGGACAGAACAGAACTTGGATTGAAGTGAGAAAGAGCAAAGTACATATTTTTTAGAGCTTCAAGAATAGCAAATTCCAGAGTTATTAACTGCTTCCAATGGACGCAGTAGTTGCACTAGTTGCAATTGATGATAAGTAGTGCAGAACTATGGCTTTCGACTGGTGCTGCTATTGACCCTGTGATCACTCCAAAGTCTTTTCCAGACCATTCCTCTCTGCATTTACAGGAACTCTGACCCAATTTCTTGCCTGGAAGTACCTCGGCAAGGTCCGAAATCTGCGCTGATATTACTGTCCTCGCATTGTTTAGATTGAAGAAAGCAACATATATCTCACCTAAACAAGATCAAAATGTTTATTTTTAGCAATATTAACTAACATAAGAATGCTACTTATTTGAATATCCATTTAAAATCTGAGAGATACACCAACCTTCCCTTCCTGTCGCGACCCACGAGCGAACTCCAGTCGGAATAGATTGGGCTGCAAGAATGATGTTCATGAATGGATCATCGTGGTAAAGAAAAAGTCAAGATTCGAAATCAGTCATTTCAAGAATGCGACTTGATTTTGGATTCATTACCTTTGTTATACTTCACAATTGCACAATGTCCAGAATAATTGTTTGCCAACGTCCCGTTAGAGTTTAAATCCCACTTCTGGTATACTCGGAATGAACAAGAAGATAATTTAAGCATCAGAAAAAAAAAAAAAGGGTGAAAACAGATGGATGCAAAAGGGACTATTTTCTTCATCATCTCATAAAAACAAAGATATTAGCCAGTTGGTTAACCAGGAAAAACAAGAGACAAAGACTAACCTGGTTCTCATGCCTTTTACAGGGAAAAAATGATCCCCTTGTGAATGCTTCAGAACTACGCTTTCTTTTCAGAGTAGCATCTAGACAAACATCCGCTGTGCCAGTCGCCGATGTTATAAGTTCCACTTGATCATGGTGAGTATCAGTTGCCTCTTTATCCCTGCAGCAGAACATAATTTTTGTGACCCTGCTAGAGCCATAACAAAATTTTGAGACTGCCAAATAAAAGCAGAGCATCAAGCCAATTACATTGCAACTCGAGATCCTCGTTTAAATAGGCATAACGGTGCTTGATATTTGTGTTCTAGATTTTCCTTCCAACATATTTTTTCAAGACCTTGATTGAGACCTTCAGTAATCCAACCACCAGCCTTTGAATCTGCACAGTTGCTGAGACCCAACACAGGCAAAGTCGATGCCTCCAAATCTCTGGAATGCCATTTGAGAGTCTGCTCTATACCGTTTGAAACTTTTGTTGCAGCTATTTTAAGAAACTATAAAGGCAACGAAAATAAGAAGTAAAAATTTCAATATCAGGAAGATCTTTCCCAACTTCCAAATTTGAAAAATAGAAAAAAGGCTCAACTTGCCTCCATATTATTTGAGCTGAAGGAGTTAATCTCCAGTAGAGTAGGATTTGTGATGATACTATAGGTGGTATCATCAAGATTCCTCAAATCTCCTCCAAACATAATTGGAGACTTAGACATACACCATAGAGTCATCTGAAAAATTAAGTTCAACACAATTTCTGCGTCAAATGAAAATAATTAAGATAATGATCTCTCTCTCTCTCTTTTAAACACAAATGTACCTGAGTTCTTTGTTCATTTAAATTAAGGTTACTTCTTCTATGAGGGCCCTCGTTCGAACCTAAACATTTTATTGCAAAAGAAAAAAAAACACACAGTACACACACACACATTATTAATAACATTCATTCAATATTACTGCCATCCTACTGCCCGGCACGCAAAAAAAGGATCTTATAAAATTATATAACCTGGATCAGTAAGCCAACCCAGTGGAAGCATATCCAGATCAGGCCATGATTTACCCATCAGGCCTGTGGTACCTATCATTTTAGCAGTAGAGAAATCCCTGAAGTAGAGATAAAACGAACCATGTAAGTAGAGGTTGAGGAGACATCGATATGAAATGAAATGTATTCGAATCTCCTGAATTGAAATACAGCTGCTTTAATTACCGGGTTATGTCAAAGTGGGAAACAATGTCATTCCAAGTATCCCAATCATCCCCCGTTATTCTATACATGTTAGCCAGCCCACTTACAGACTTGGCCATGGCTGGTGTCACACTTGTTCCAGGAGACAGAGAATACACTATTGGGCGGTCAAGTTGTTTAATAACCTGTGCATATACTCGACGAATAAGCAAATGTGTATGTACGTGTAGTGTGCCTTGGAGAGAGAGAGAGAGAGAGCATACATCTGAGACGAGGCTTATTTCAGCTAAATCGAAATCATCGCCAAACACACAATCATGTTTCACTGCCAGAAAGATAAGAAAGAGAAGGTTATAAGGAATGATCATTTCAGATTGGTATCTAGGTTCCAGGTAATGGTTGGGAGTGGAAATAAATACATCATTTTAGAGGAAAATTATAGGTCTTTATACTGCCATAGTCAGCACCTATTTGAAATCTATGATCATAATTAACACATGACTGAAATTTCTGTCGATGAAGAATGCATTTTCGACGAGAGACCAACCACAAAAGATGGTTAAATCTGATTCATTCAAACAACTAAAAGAGGCATTGATTTCAGACATCTTATGTGCTCCAGAGAACAGATATAATCAGTCAAGTTGAAGAGTAAACTGAAATTCTTCACATGTTGGAAGTGACCTTGCTTTTTGTTAATTACAGTCAACTTACCAAAATCAACACCCCACTCAGCATATTGTAGATAAAGGGACCTTAAGAAGGCTTTTCCAGCTCCCGAATTGACGTTTACACTCATGAAACCATTACGCATCCATCCACAGGCCCTCGACTTGATCCCTATATCACTTGCAAACCACTTTCTCCCTGATTCTACATAGGCACCTCCCTAAGAAACAATTCAGAAAAATAAGCAGAAAATCATTAAATGCTCCCTATCTTTGATCCTAAGGAGGGAAAAAAAAAAGAGATTTCCTAGTGTATTATTTTACACAAGTAGCATTTATTCTATGTTTTAGAGCTGACTATTTAACCATGCTCATGTTGCGTAGAAATAAGGGAACTTGCCTAAGGTTTTACCTTTGAAACGTCCAATATAGGGGTATTAGCATTTACTGCCTGTGTACTAATTCCTCTCATGACATGAATTCCAAACTTTAACCCCATATCATGTACTTTCTTAGCTACTTCCGATAATCCCTTTCCACCTCGAGAGGAAGGCCACCGACCTGGGTCCGGGACCATCCTCCCCCATTCATCAATCACATCAAACCCAAGAGAATCGGTGTAAGCACCTGGAACCTTTTTTCTATACCAGAGGTAATCCACAACCACGTACTGCATCAATTAAACAAACCAGAGAAACATTAATCTTCTTACCAATATTTTTGGGCATTACCACAAAGCTAAAGGAATCCACACATTAGATCGTAAACGACCAATGATGCGATCAAATTGCTACCTCATATCCCTTAGATTTAAGCCGCTTGGCAACAATCTCTGCATTTTGTAAGAATTCTTCTTCGGAAATTGTCCAGCAAAACGAGTCATAGGAGTTCCAACCTCTCGGCGGGAAGGCCGCACGTTCTGGTCCATTTTTGGATGACACCCTGCAACAAATCAGAGTTCGTAAATACCATAGGATTAGTCAAGTTACTGGCTTTATCCATCACATAGCCTTAAATATCCAAAGTCAACTCAGTTCACTGCACCACACTTGCTCACGGATGTCCTTTACAGAAAGTCTCAAACAAACCACATTTCTAAATTTGCAGCAGGAGTGGAGATGGAGAGGAAGAAATTGAATCCATTAACACAGGAATATGAATTTAAAAAAGAAAAAGAAATAAAGAAATGAAGTGGGCCTTCGTTCAACAATAACGATCCTAGTTTTTACAGAAAGCAGACAACTCTCTCTTTACTAAATATGGAAACAGAATTCTTCAAACAAACCAGAGTTAACAGCCATAACCAAATAAGCTACAACTACAAGTGAGAGAAGGGAGAGATGTACAGACCAACTGCAGAGAAACCCGAAGCAGAAGAAGAGATAAAAGTAGAGAGAGCTGAAGAAGACGCCTTTCATGATGTGGGCTACAGCGGTGGCGGTTTTCAGCGATCAAATTCAGAGTAGACCCATAAAGCAGGGAACTGAATTGATATTTTTGATACCTTCTGGACAGGAAAAATGTTAAATTATAAGGACCCGTTCAGATGGTGCGTGGAACAGCATTAATTAACACATCCTCATCCTCGTCCTCATCGCATCCCCATCCTCATCCTCATCTTCATCGAATTACCAAGTTCAGAAATGAAAGATCCATCTATTTTATAGATCTAATGCAAGACGTGCCAGTGGCAAGTGATAATAGATGCTAAGATAAGATTTCCAATTATACCAAGTTAACAATTAACTTTTTAACTAAACAATGTTGAGACCACCAAATTCTCCGCATATAGAAACAACGGAATATTACCACTTTAAGAAAGAACTGTATTTTAATCAACAAAAAAAGTTGGTGAGGCTTAGAAAAACTGCAAGCTATATAAAGACTCGATTGCCGACTTAATGAGAACAAAAGCAAGAATGAGTGGGCTTGGAAAGCTCGGCGAGTGTAAGACAATATTTTCAGCAAACGAAAGAAAAACAAATGATATAATTCATATTAAATAAAGCTATAGCTAAAATACCATCATGGTCGTTATAATAAGTCGTCTTCTAAAATAATAAAATTTTCTCTTGTTTTCAAAGTTGCCTTGTAGACTTGTAGTTCTAATTTCCACCAAAATGATATCCTAATACAAAAAAATTACCAAACACTTCTCTAAAAAAGAAAAAAAATTACCAAATTCTTCTCTGGAAAGATTTTTTATTTTATTTTACCAAACTCCTCTGGAAACAAATAAACAAAATAGAAACAGCTCTTGGTTATCCCCATAGTACATCCCGAAATAAAATTCGATTCGAGATTAATTTGAGTTCTAAACTCAAACCCATGGGTGCCCAAAGATAAACACATTATCAAAGTTGGAAGTTTAAACTTTAAAACTCTCTACAATATTGCCTCTTCTTCATCTTGTCTCATGTAGAAAATCCACTGTTGTAAGACTACTCTGTGAAGAACATGATATCAAAGTGTGAAATTTGACTAATTATGGAAATACCCATTTCCATTTACTGAAATCTCTATTGGTTAAAAGAAAGAAGGAAGAAAACGAAAAGTTATTCTCCAGAAACGGAATGGGAATGAGAAAGAAAAAAAAAAAAAAAAGTAATGGCGAAGAATGGATTACCAGCGGAGAAATCAGAGGGATGGAAATGGTAGCGAGTAGACTGAGCGGTTAAATAGAAGGGTGGTGGAATCCCAGTGTAACGCATAAACGAACAGACTCATTACCAGAAGTTGAAGCCCGCGAAGTTCCACCTGACACATTGAAGAACAGCACGAAGAATCTCCGTAAAGTTGAAACAGAGTCCACTATCCAAATATATTTTCTTTCCCCGCGAGAAACTGAAGGAAGTCCCACTTCTTAATCTAATCAATCCGTGTTAAGAGTTTCCGACTCCAATTTATTAGGGCTAATTATAGAAACCCTTCCAACAAAATCGCACCTCTTGCTCTACACGTGTCATCAACTGCTTGAACTTGGTATTGCGGCTCGGCATTCAGCTTCCTTCACCCACTTTGCTTCCAACATCTCTTGTCATCTTATATTCTTCTTTGATTCAAATGGCCCCTTCTGTTTTCCTAAACAATATTCCGATCTTAATCACCTCCTCTTTGATGGATAAATATGGAGGACGCATCAGCAATCGCTTCGCGGAATCACATTCTTTGATTATGTAAGAAAGAGTGTAATGTTTAAATTATTTCACCAACTCTATGTGATGTTTTAAGTGAAATAATACGAAGACGAAAGAAAATCTATCTTCTAGAAGACTTACGGATTTGAATAAACTCAATTTGCATCATTGCTGCATGTGCGAAACTTTCTATAATTAAGTAAAATTGAATAAAATTTATGGTTACTAGTTTACTACTTAAAACTAAGTATATGTATCTTCCTTACAAGATTTATACTTGGTACAGAATAATTACGTTGTATAACCTCTTAATCAAAATCTTTAAGGTTGTCTCATTTCTAAGTTTGGTCTAATGCTTCCTATTATTAGCTTTAGAAAGTTCTTTTGCAATAAAATTTAAATAAAGAGTAACGCGATTTGTTTAAGATAAAATTTTAAAAAAATGCAATTTGAGTGGCAATTCCTATTTAAGAGAAAATAAAAATAAGTTTTGACGCAATTCATGAAAGAAAGGTAGGACACTTGTATTTTTTTTAATATAATAAATATGGAAGTTATAAGATGTCTTTTTATTTATTTATTATTTTTTTATCGAGTAATAAGATATCTTTTGAGTGAAACAAATACGACTATATAAGTAAGAGAGAATAAAAATTTAAAGATGGTTAATTAACTAAATTTTCACTTCTAACATTTTTAATTTTTCAATTAAGAAAAGGAGGTATCGAACAGCCTAAATCTCCGTGATCGAGTGAGAAGCCTAATTGCCCTGGATTTGTTGCGATCACTCTTCGTTTCTGTCGGTTTCTTCGTATGATCGATGGATTCGGAGACGGTAAGGATACGTCTGATCTTCGAAGAGGGGCACCTGCTGAGCAAGTCGCAGAGGATAAATGGCCTCAAACGGAGCTGGATTCTTCTGAAATCCCACCTCCATTCCATTTCCGACTTCTCTTCCTATCTTCTTGACTTTTTCCTACTTCGTAATGCTTGTCCTGATGGTCTCATTCTTTCTGTAAGTATCTCTCTCTCGCCTTTTGGTTCTCCTATGTTCATCCCGCTTACAATTCCCATTGTGGAGGTGTCATTTTCCATGCATGTATGTAATGGAGAAGGGGGAGGAATGGAATCTCTTTTTAAAATTTCTCGATGAACGCAACCGTCCCTGAATGTTGTGGTCTTGGTTTTTCTTTGTTTCGGCACTTCATAATGGCATGCTGAGCCTACTTTCCCCTCTTTCAGATGGATGGTTTTGTTTTACCACCTTTTGAGCCTACTGCTGTTTTGAAGGATAAAGATATTGTCAGGTCAGTTTGTGAACGACATCTTCTCAATAAATACTTTGTCTCTATAAGACCCAGAATCTTAGTTTGCAGCATTGTGCTGCTATCAGGGTGAAGAAGAAGGAGGACAATGTAACTGCGGTTGATAAGGTCGCAGACATGGTGGAGGGGCAATCTGCTGATATAGATGTCCAGCTTCAAGCCAACGAGGAGCTTGTGATGGATGGTAGTGACTACAAAAATGTAGCAGATGAAGATGAAACCTATGATCTTCCACATCAGTTGGAAGATACTTTGGAGGCGGGAAGCAATAAGAAAACCTTTTGTAGGAAGAGGAAGGCACTGAAAACACCTCACAGTTCAAAGTATTTAACACCAATCGCTGTCATACAAAAGCTAAAGAACTGTCAAGTAATCTTATTTTTTATACACAAGCCACATTTCTGGATCAAACACCATGCTCTTGAAGGGACTTGAGTCTTAATTGGTGCTTGGTGCTTATATGTTGCTTTTGTTTATGTTTGCCATTTCAATGTGAATAATGCCATTTTTTTAAAATGCAATTTATTGTTTTATTAGATTCAAAAAGTGATTTAAAATAACTGTACCTTTTATTCTTCGTAAACTAAATTCTGATGTAAAACAATAACCATGTTGTAACTTGTAAGAGGCATGTGTTTGTTAGTTCAACTTATGTCTGGTCAATTATGAATGAGCTATAATGAGGTGGAATTTTATGTTTTTTCCTCATCCATGGTCTTCATATGATGCCATCTCACTTTATACTAGATATATGGCTATCCATGATTTTGTCCCCAAGAAATCTCCAACAAGAAGTCTACGTTATTCCTTATAGTTCAAAATTGCATGACTCATATCTATATACTTGTTCATACTGCATTTTTCATTTAGTTTTTCATTATTTAGTGCATAGTCATGGCTGTACTGTACCTTGTACAAATTTCCTGATGTTTATCATTATTTTGGGTTATTTTTGTTGATTGTCCGAATTATAGGACAAAGAAAAATAGATATGCTCTGACTGCAAAATGTCTGCGTGCTCCATCAAATCTTCAGCAGCATATTGATCTAGACCACAATCAAAGATTCCAGCAGGATGTTATGCTTCCAGAAAAGAGTCCGGTCAAGAAGCCTAAATCATCCAATGTTCATACTGATGCATACGACTCCAACAAGAAAAATGTCAGTAAAGTAATACTCTTTTAAGGATACCATATCTTGTCAGTGTAGTTAAAAGAAATCTGGAACTCCTTTCCTCTAGAAAAACCTCTGTTTTAAGCGTTAAAGTGATGTTTTTGCTGTTGATGTTATGAGAATGTGACAGATTCCAACCTCTGAAATTTAGGGATTTCATTTGTTTTGTGAGGGCCAATTCCATAATGGGATGAAAGATCCCAATTTTTAACGGGGATGGAGAAACAAATTCATTGTTTTAATTTTGGAATAGAGGATGGGAAGTATATTTGTTGTCGCAACCCCAACTCTGACCATGTCCTTGTCCCCAAAATCAATCTTTATTCAAATTTTTAGAATTGTAGTATGTAGAAATTGCTTTCTTAATATATTGATAATAAAAATATTACATAAAATTAGTTCTATAAACTAATATAGAAACTGGGAATCAATTAAATCTTTATTAGTTTCTAATATTTATAAATTTCCAATTTTTTGTTATTAACTTTTTTTACATAATTTTTAAAAAATATCACTCATTTTAATTTTTGTTCTCTTTCAGCTTAAAAAGGATAAAAAGCAATTGATGAGGAAACAAGACAAAGCCCAGAAGGAAAAGGTACACTTGGTGTTCTGGGTGCCTGCTCTTGAAAAGGTTTTCCTTTCACATACATTAGTGGAGTTGACATCCTGTTCCAACGTCAACTCCACATTCTATTGGATCTGACTTATATGTGCACATGGGTAAAATTGATAAACTATTGTGTTTATTAAGTGTTGGGTTGTGGGACTGGACATATGCATATACATTCTTAGCCATCTAGAGATGAGAGTGCTTAAATTACTTCTTCGAGAGTGATAATGATTCACTGATCATTCTGCAGGTACAGCAAAGAATAGTTGAAAAGAGTAAGAGTAAGTTACCTGATGAAAATTACTTTGAGGAATCTGAAAAGCTAGCTGGCAGTAGTGATGATGAAGAAATTGTCCCCGTGGTAGTCAGACCAGGACATGTTCGTTTTCTGCCTTCTGGACAAGGTCTGTTTGTCTCTCTTGCTGCATGGTGCAAAGGAGTACTTGTAGCCTTAGAATGTTTCTAGCACCATAGGCTGTTGATATTTGTACTTCTTACAGTTAAATGTTTATGATGCACTTGTTTTAAATTTGTGTTTCCAGCAAACCAATTTGTCCATCCAGCTGAAACTTCAATGGTATTATCCCAGTGCTTACATCTCTTTGCTGTTGTAGTCCTTGCAAGTAAACCCAAGTTCTTTGACATTCGAAATGAGTGTTTCAGGACACCTCATCGTTGGATAGGATAACAATCAAAAAGGGACAAAAATGGGGTAAAGGGAAATCCTCGTCTTGGAGGAGTAACTGCAAGAATTGTGAGGGACAAAGTTCTACACTGCAAGTTAAAAAAGATTTTGCAACTTGGAACTACCCAATTGACTTCGATAAACTCAAACCTTGTGCTAGCTTGCCCAAGGTTTGTTTTGATAATTTTTATATGTTTAAGTATGAATCTCGCATATCTCTCAGAATCTGGAATTAGCTTCTGTTGCTAAAATATGTCTAAATTGACCCTTGTTTTGAATCGGAACCATCTCAGCTATGAACTTCTATGCTGCAGGGAGGTGACATAATTGCATATCGTTTAATTGACTTATCATCATCGTGGACTCCAGAACTTTCCTCCTTCAGAGTAATAATTCCTTCGGCTTCCAATATGATGTAAATGTCTTAGATGACTGATGAGGCACATAATTATGCCCTGCTCTATGTATGTTAGGTTGGAAAGGTATCATGGTGTAAACCTGAAGCAAATAAGATTATGCTAATTCCTGTTCCAGAATATCCATTTGTTTTCAAAAAGGCAGTGAATGAGGTATCAGCTACACAAGTGGACACTTCTCCATATGCGAAAGATGGCTCTCTAAAGGTACGCCATCATCTTTCTGTTGCTGGAATGGCTAGTACTCGGTTTCAAATAAGCATTAACTAATATTGCAGGATTAATGGTCATTTGTTAACCAGTATAGTTATAGTGCCTTGTTCTTTCATTGTGAGAGGAGGTCATGGATGGTTGGATCTTTTATCTATCACAAAATCTGATACAGATTCCAAATTTGGTTGTTCGTAACACATGAAGCTAAAATTCAGTTAATAGTTTTCATTCGGCTTGTTCACCTGGATTTAATCTGATAATTGTCACAAGCATGTGTCATTAGGGGCACAAATGTGGAGCATCTTGAACCTCAACTAAATTACACTTGAAAGCTGTCTGTTTTCTGGTGTCAGGTTAGGCTCAGTTTGATGAGATCATGATTTTGTTGTATAGATGGCCAAGAGAAAAAACTCTAAATCATGCTTTCAGTTAAATTGCCTAGGATTATAAGCCACCAAGCATAACACAACATAGAAGCTGATAATTGCTACTTGAAAGAAACTGATAAGGGGAGCTTTAACTAATGCAGGCAGATTACTCCTCACTTGTAGACATCCGAATTGTTGGGCGTGAAAACTCAAGTAGTTTTGAAGAAGCTGCTAATAAAATTAGTGAAGTATCTAGTACAAAACAAAGCTGGAACAAGTGGGAGAACCATTCCAGTGCACCAAAACAAAGCTGGAACAAGTGGGAGAACCGCACCAGTGCACCTAAACGAAGCTGGAAAAAGTGGGAGAACCATACCAATGCACAGGGTATAGATGCTACTTATGTTCTGTGCTGGGAATAAGTAAAGCTGGTCTTACAACAATCTAATTTGCTGACCTCTCTGTTCGTTGTTTCAGAAAATGGGAAGGAAAATGCATGGGATGAAATTCTCCAGGCATGGAGCGCAAAGAAAACTAATGTGTCCAAGGAAGTTCGATGGAGTAGAGCAGAAAAGAAAGTTCAGGAAGGAGCTCATCGTTCATGGTAAATTGCCTCCTGCGAGTGAGCTTTGGTATCATGTAAAGTCAAGCACCACAAGCGCATACTGTTTACCTATCAATTTATGTAATTCTGTACAAAATTTTACCACTTGTTCTATAAAAGGCGAGAAGGCTATGGAAGCTAGGCATTTTGTTTGAGCAGTTAGGTTCAGTTCAAACGTAGGGTAGAAGTAATTTAATTTTGTTGTAGAAACCTTCTGTCACGGTGGAACTTTGAAGTACAACGAAGTGGGAATGTTGCGTAGCTTTCGTCCCAAGATTATTTCAGCCACAAAAATGGAGATATTCTATCTTTCTGTGCTTCTCTTTCCCAGATTCAATGAATATGTAAACAAGCGCACTATTAACCATTTCTAAGAAACTATTTGAAGGGATTGAAACAATGTGTTGGGTGTGTGAGAGAAATTTAAAAGTCTGTTTTAATCACCCATTCAAGGGTTAGAAGAGGCAACAATATTTACTAGACTTGGTTATGAAAGTGGAATTTAGTACTAACTTGCCCTCATCCAGTAATCTTTCTAACAGTAGCAGTGGTAACCTGTTGATGGCCTAGCTATTAGTATTCTCTTCACTGCCACTAAATAGTAATTAGTAAATGGTAAATTAGTTGCTTCGCTTTCGAACGAAGCTAGTATGATGGATTAAGCTGAACTGATTCGTTGAACTTTAACTTTTACACTTTAACTTTTGAGCTAGACTCGGAGTAAAATCAGAATTGGTCTTCCAGCAGCCAGAACTTGATAACTGAGATCAAAATTGTACTTCAAATTTTGATGCTTTTAAATGGCATCTGTAATTGGACAATCATTTTTCCCTTGCCCCCCGCCGTGTAGATATATCTAAATTGCATGCATGTGCTGCACATTTGCTTTTATAAAGTGACACTCTCTTTGCCCAGCTATCATCATTAAAACTTGAAAGAAAAGCTGTCCTTCTACAGCCATTTTTAAATGGCCCTTCCTTCTTTTCTTTTCTTTTCTTTTTCTTCTTTCAAGTAATCTTCCACACTCTTATAGCCATGAGGTGGACCTTCTACTTCCAAGCAAAAGTTCACTTGTGATACTCCCTAAGAACTAGATTAAGACATTAAATTCTTATTGTCAAAGAATAAAAGACAAAATCAAAATWTCCAAAACATTATCCATTATCTTCCACTTCTTCACTTTTATACTAATTTAAACCCACCTTGGAAGCAAGGTAGAAATTCATCAGAACTTTTGACCTTTAATCCCTTTTTAAGCTTCTATTTAAGGCAGGGCTTCAACTCAACCAAAATCATTCTAAATCAAGACAACCCAACTTTTCCTCCTCCTTTCTGCTCTGTCTCCACTCCATCTTCCCTACTGAAAAAACAGAAAAACTATGGCAGTTTCTGCACCACGTAAGTTGAGTCTCATCAAACCAGACCGCCAACTATTCGCAGCAGCCGATGACAATGCCTTGATGAAGCAAGTTTTGGCCACTCATTCCAACGATACCTTCGAGTTGCATGTCGCCCCTTTGCTCAGCCTTGTTGAACAAATTTTCCTCCGAGCTAAACTCAACATCCCCACTCTTGCTCATGAGGCACATACATATGCTTACAACTACTGTTTAACTAATCATCTCTCTGGTTAAAAGAAATTCAAACTTCCTGTAAACTTTGCTCATCCATTGATTTTCTCACCAGGGAACAACACAAGCTCAACTGGAGGCAATTGAAGACAATGCTCCAAACCCAACAGACTTGCTAGATCTGCTGGACTGTGTATCATACACTATCAATAAAGTTGCCAATGAGGTTGTTGTTTAGAGTCTGTTCTCTCTTTTGGGTATACCAAAGTCGATGCCTTTATTTCAGAATTCATTTTCTTTTGCTTGTTTTTTTCCATGATCACAGATGCAGTACAAGTGTTCAGGAGGAGGAGATCCCCATACCGTGACAATGGAAGTATTCAATTTGTTGTCAAACTGGCCATGGGATGCTAAAGTGGTGCTAGCCTTGGCTGCATTTGCCATTAACTATGGAGAGTTTTGGCTGCTGGTTCACCTCTTCTCAACCAACTTACTCGCCAAAGACATTGCGCTGCTCAAAAAACTCCCTGAAATCTTCGAGAGGGTCGACCTTGTGAGGCAAAAATTTGAAGCACTCGACAAACTGATCAAGGCACTCGTTGCCGTGGCCAAGTGCATTGTTGAGTTCAAGATGCTTCCTTCCCACTACATCAATTCAGAAACACCTGAATTGAAGAGCGCAACCACTCTCATCCCAACTGCTATTTATTGGACAATCAGAAGCATTGTTGCCTGCACTGCACAGATTACGGGCATCATCGGAGTCGGCCATGAGTATGCCACTTTTGATAAATTTAAATTTTCATATATACTCGGATAACTTAGCATTCTCTGTTTGATGTGTGCAATACTTAGCATTCTTTGTTGATGCGTGCAATACTTCATCAGGCACTTAGCATTGGCATCTGAGACGTGGGAGCTGTCAAGTCTGGCCCATAAGATTGACAACATTCACAAACACCTCGAACAACTGCTTCTTGCTTGTCGGCATTACATAAGTAAGCCTCCTGTTGCTCTCTAAACTTGAACATAAATAGGCAACAGCGAGAGAAATAGAAACAGAGTTGAGTGTGAATTAACTTTTTGCCCCCTGTTTGTGATTGACTCACAGATGAGAGGATCCATCACGAAATGTATATGAATCTGGTCCGCCTTTTCGAGGTACCCCACCTTGACAACAACAAGATCCTCAGGGCTTTGATTTACTCCAAGGATGATAAGCTGCCCCTCATTGATGGTTACACCAAGGAAAAGGTTTCCACTTTCCCCTTTTCTAACGAATCTTGTAGACATATAATTAAGACATTTAAACATCTTCAAACTTTCCCACATACTCTATTTTGGTTTCAACACAATTCTTGTACTACCCCTTTTTCAAACTTCATCACCACATTACAGGCCTCCCTTGATGTGCTGAGAAAGAAAAATGTGCTGCTGCTGATCTCTAACCTGGAGCTATCGGCAGTGGAGCTGTCAATGCTGGACCAAATCTACAGGGAATCGAGGCAGAACAAAGGGAGAGCAGAGAGCGATTACGAGGTGGTGTGGCTGCCAATCGTGGACGACCCATGGAATGACGAGAAACAGAGCAAATTCGAAGAGTTGTTGGCGCTGATGCCATGGTACTTGGTGGCGCACCCTTCGCTGATCGAACCGGCGGTCATCAAGTACATAAGAGAAGTGTGGCACTTCAACAAGAAGCCTCTGTTGGTGGTTTTAGACCCACAGGGCAAAGTGGTGAACACCAACGCCGTCCACATGCTCTGGATTTGGGGAAGCCTGGCCTACCCCTTCACCAGCGCTCGAGAAGAAGCACTTTGGAGAGAAGAGTCGTGGAGACTTGAGCTCTTAGTCGACTCAGTGGAGCCCCTCATCTTTGCCTGGGTAATCCCAATCCCAATTCCAATTCCAATTCCCTTTCTGACCGTGACATAATAGATACACTAAATCTTGCAGATGGAAGCTGGGAAACACATATGCATTTGCGGAGGGGAAGATTTGGGATGGATAAGAAACTTCAGCAAAAGGGCAAAAGAAGTAGCGAAGGACGCGGGGATAGAATTGGAGATACTTTACGTGGGGAAGAGCAACCCGGGAGAGAAAATAAGGAAGAACATAGCCGCAATCGTAGCAGAGAAATTGATCCACACGCTGGCAGATCCGACCCTGGTTTGGTTCTTCTGGGTGAGGCTGGAGAGCATGTGGTACTCAAAGACCCAGAGAGGGAACACCATTGAAGAGGATCCCATAATGCAGGAGACGATGACGATGCTGAGCTTCGACAGCGGGGATCAGGGCTGGGCCCTCTTCTGCTTGGGGTCAACCAACATGATCCGGGCCAAAGCGGAGACGATGATGAATGTGGTGAATGGGTATGAAGATCGGTGGGAGAAAAATGCCAAGGACCAAGGGTTCATGCCTGCCATGAGTCGGGACCTCCGAGACTTGCACACTCCCGAACATTGCAACAGACTCATTCTGCCTTCCTCCAACGGAACCATTCCTGAGAAGGTGGTCTGTTCTGAATGTGGCAATGCCATGGAGAAGTTCATCATGTATCGCTGCTGCAACGACTGATCGTTCCACTTTCTCACTTCTAATTACTATACTAAACTATAATATAGCAAAATGGTACGGTGTTTGTGCCATGTGCCTTGCAGTGTGTTGTTCTTGAGTGAAATCAAAAGGATTCCATTCCATGGATGCATGGATGTGAAGGTTTGCTTTTCAAATTTCAGTTGACTTGTATTGTGACGTGAGATTTAATATACGAAATAGTTGGAATGTCTTTTATATCAGCTTATTCTTTCATGCATGCATCCCATTCTTTATTTATATTACCAGCCTTTTTTCTCACTTTTTTTATTTTTATTTTTTTACCATACCATTCTTTTATCCTCTGCAAAAGATTCATTGAACAATAGAGAGAGCATTGCACATGTGAGTAAAGCCCTCTTACACAGATTTCAAAATTTTGTTTATTCATTAATCTTCGTGAGTTTTCTTTGCCCTCCCATTTTCATGAATATGTCCATAGGTTTTGTGTCATACTTCTCTCTTCTCTACCATAAATATCACACTCCTCTCTTCTCCTCGATAAATTGTTTTTCTTTTAATGAAATTATTTACTTTATTTTTTTATTTAAATTAAATTTATAATTAATAAAATAACATTAAAATTTTACTAATAATGTACTAAATTAATTATTGGTTAAAAAACACTTTTGATTTTTGCTAAAGTAACACTTTAGTTTATTAACATTAATTTTTAACGATTTAATTCACATGCTTTCAAATTGGTTACATTAATATGTAACAATTTAATCATTGTAATTTAAAATTGGTTTATAAATTAGAAAGATCAAATTGTTATTTGATACTTAATTTTAATAAAACTTTTTATGATAAGAACTAAATTATTACAAATTTTAAACTACATAGATTCATTACAAGATAAGTACTATTTAGGAAACATAAGACAAAATGTAATTTTTAACTTCAATTATTCTATTGAAATAAATTAATTTATAAAATATATACTTAATTTTTTCATAAAAATATAATAAATTGATGCAATTAAATAATTAAGATTAATTGGTAAATAAAATCAACAACAATAATTTTAATATATCATTTATAATATATTACTAAGGAGTGAAACTTAAATAAAACATAATTACTTAAAAAGAATTTTAATAACATAAAAATTAACAAATGTAAAAATTATTGAATTGGATTAAAGCTTCGTACACATAATTTTCTCAAATAGGTATATAAAATTTTAGAATAACATTTGCCATTTATTGTTCAATTAATATTATCCTAAATTGTCAATTTAAAATTCAGAATACTGATATAAAAAATTTAATAAGTTTAATTTATATTATTTGTTTTTTAATTAAATTAAATTAATTATTAATAAATTCACAAGCTTGTTAACCCTAGATATTTTTTTTAAGGCTTCGACCAGACAGCCCAAAAGGGTGGAGAGAGATGCGGTTTTTTAAGATGCGAAGCCAGCAGCAACAACTGACAATCTCATCAAATCAGATTCCGGCGTACATGAGAACAGTAATTTCATTTGGGTTCGGGATTAGAAATTAGAATGGTCATTTTGACTTGACATTATTCATAATTTATATTACTAACTTTTGTTCTCCAATCAATAATTCGGTACAGCTTCAGTTGATTTCATTATGTCCTCCGTAAGCCTAAAATTCAGAGAGCTTCGACGAAACCAACAAATCAATCCTTGTCTACTTCCGTAATTCAGAGGTTAGCAAAAAGATTACAATTACCCAAACATTCAAAATGATAGGCCAAATGGCCCTCTTGACAATCGGCATGAAATGGATAACGATAACATTCTTCAAACAAGAAGAATTAATGATAAGGATCTTGGGAAATTTCTCTTGTAAATGCAGATCTGATCAAAAAAAAAATTCCCAACTATTACACTTGAAAAGGAGTGTACCAGGAGACAGGTAGCAGAGTGCAATGGAAATTACACTGAGCTGTTTAATACTGGCAGATTTTAAATCAATTTATGCTTCGGAAACATGAACATCCCCCATTATTAAATCTAAGAGAGTTCACCAGTAAGAAGCAACCGTCCTAGAAAAGATTTCAGAGTGATAGATGGATAAACCCTAGATTTAGAAGACAAATCAAATGGCACAACATCAAACCATTAAAGCTACGAGTAACAAATCAACTCATAGCTTGCCTCCGATTGAACCGAAGACGATTAGGTTTCAAAAGTTGCAGTTATTTTACGCCTCCGTTGACACGTCCATCTGGATCAACAAATCCGCTGATGAACGTAACGCCTATCGAAGGCGATACTAAATCCCGAAGATATTTGGTAAAGAAACGAGCGCAAACATGATAATCAAAAACAAAAATAATTCAGAAGAAGCCGAGAATTTCGAACTCAGAAAATTTGATGAATGAGGTTCCGCAGTTCGTTGCCATTGCTGCCGACGAGTGTTTCAGAGTTAGGGTTATGGGGAGCTTAATTTATAGGCCATCGGGGAACCCTATTGGGGTTTGGGCTTGCTACTCTTTCTAACCCGATCCGGCCCAACTTTGTCGAGTAAAGAACGAAATAGCCTAATTCGGTATTTACGAAAGTATTTTAGGATTCATTATTCTTTTAAATATATGATTTAAATTCTTAACATGGAGAAATCGTAAATGTACCATAATACCTTTTTCTACACAAATACAAATAACAAGAAAAGAAAAAAAGCAATATTGCCACACCACTCATTTAAATATAAAGTGTAATCTGATGTAATTAAATGTTTAAATTAAAATTTGATACACCTCATGGATAAAATTCAAATGTTTTTATAGGATAGAAAACCATTTAACTTGATCATACTTTGATCCAATTTTCTATTTTCCCTTTGATACAGTTGGATATTCTTTCACTTAATTTATTGCTCCACGTGTTAAAACATTTTTTTTACATTAATAACACTGTATCGGCAAAGTGAGTATAGTTCAATGGTAATTGGCATATATTGAATTATTCTCTTTTAGGCACTGTACATGTTCGGGGTGAAAATCGTACTGCCACATCGAGGACATAGAGAGGTCCAACTTCGTTTATTTAACTATATAAACATTTTTAAATGTTGTTAGTCAATTCCATAAAGGCCTACAATGAATTTATTAAAACTAAATATTGATGTCACTTGGCATTATGAGGTTGGCAAAATCGGATTGGGAAACATAATTCTCCGAAGGAAATATTGGTTGAGTTGCATTGCGCGTTCATGTTCGTGAACAATTTGAATGATGAAGCTGTGACATCTCATTTCTCATCAATAAAATTATATTTCATAAAAAAAAAAAACAGAAAGACAAAAGGTGCATAATACAAAGGTAATTTCAATTTTTTTTAAAGCATAATACGAAGGTATTAGGTAGGCAATTTTATTATGACCTATTGCAAAAACAGAATTTCACTAATAATTAATATTTGTTTGACAATGTAAAGGATGCCCCCATCCAGGATCGAACTACAGACCTTCAGTTTACAAGACTGACGCTCTACCACTGAGCTATAGGAGCAACTTGTTGACAACTGGCTTACAATATATTAAAAAAATTTAATTTGTCAATGATCTTCGTGCTCTAATATCAGACGAACAGAAAACAGGGTGCAAATTCAGCACAGTTAGATTCATAGCGTCAGATCATTTCTCGAAGAGATCTACTTCCTTTTGCATCGCCCCTTCAACTCCCAACTCCTGGCCTTGTTCTCCTGCGTTCTGCGTCACGATTTCTCGATCATTTTGCCGAACTATAACGCTACAATCGACGAGCTTCTCAAATAGAAGAAGAGAAATGGTGAAAGTAGCGACGTTCTTCGCAATGTCGTTGGGGGCCTTCGTATTCTGGCAGTCCATGGATAAACTTCATGTTTGGATCGCTCTCCATCAAGACGAGAAGGTTCTCTTTCAAATTTGCTCTTTAGATTTCTCTAATTTTGTGGTAGTATAAACCCCGCAGTCCTTATAGTTCATTCTTGTGCCGATACCCGGTTCTCCATAGAAGACCCAGGAAAAAAAAAAAAACCCTAGGTTGCAAATATTGGGCAGATTATTTTGTTTTACCTTCTAGCTCTGAATGCGATATTTTTATAGAAATTTTCCATTACAAATTCGTGATCTATGTATAGGCAGCTCGGCAGAAACGTTGGAATAAGCTCTATTGAATCTAAATACAAAATTTTCGGGATATAAATTGGATTTAATTAAAGGTGTATCTTTGCTGTTTCAGAAAGAGAGGTTGGAAAAGGAAGCGGAGATCAGAAGAGTTAGGGAAGAGCTACTGCAACAAGCGAAACAAAACGACTCTCTTGCTTGATTTCCCGTTTCTACACTGGTGGTCTTCTGTTCTCTGTTGCTGCTGTTGGCATGAAATTGATAAGTTCAGACTTTACATAGTTTATAATCATGAATTGTCTGTTCTAGAACGATGATAATGAGGTGGCCTATAAATGATTGATTACTCATTTCTTTAACTGCCCTGGTTATCAAACGTTAAACAATGCTCATTTCAATTTGGAGCCTTGCTTTTGAATAATTCAATTTGCATTCTGATTCAGTATGTCAAAACTTGTTTCAATATTGTGTTCTTACCTTGTCTTTGGAATGAGAACTTATTTGCTTCTATCTCAAATTTATAAATTCAAATTCCATGGGGTTGTACAATTTCATGTTATAGCTGCAGAACAGATGCCTATTCAGCCGCCTAAATGATTGCTTTTGTTGAACCGAAGTTTCCTTCTATGGAGCTCACTTTGTTTTCTTATAGAAATTTTGCACCTGCATTTTGAATCAACCTGGAAAAGATTCTCTATTTTTAGTTTTGTGCTCTTTAAGTTTCTTATTGAGACAAATGAATTCTCGTTTTGCAGTATAATTATTTTGACCTGGTTTAGTGTTGACATGCTTGCAAATCTTTGACATTGGATCGATACCTATTTTGTTTATCCATATTATATGACAGTTTCTTGTTTTGAACTTCCAGATCAGAACATCGTTCTTACAAAGTATTCAGTAATGAGGATATAAGATAAGGAGCTTTTTCTGTACTCATTTGTTTGTTTAGAATGATAGAGTTTTCCCGCTATAGTTTCAAGTTGCTCATGCCATATAGTTGGAATTCTTTGACCATTTTTACTGAAACATAGAATCATTATCAACTCAGATTCATTATTTCTATGTTGAATCAATCTTCCTATACTGCTATGATCGATAGCGATTTAACCAAACAAGACTTCCTTCGCAGTCTCCACAACCCACAATTCCTCATCACTAATACATTGGCTCAGTTCTGTCAACGACGTTAGGATTACAGATTGGAGAAGGATTATTTAATTCTTTAATCTCCCAGAAGTTTTTTGCATATTCTTGCCCTGGAGGGTTGTATCATGAAAGCCCTGTTAGAATCCCATGTCTGTGTCGTATGATGGGCTCAATGATCAATATGCTAAAACCTTATTAGTTGTCTGTCGTGTGAAGGGTTTAGAAGCAAACCATAGAGACCAAAAATTTTGCAATCTGCATTGTATTTGTTCTTTGCTCCTTTATCTCTGTCATGACTGGATGATATGATTTAATTGGTTCAACTTTAGTAGTAGTTGTATTTGTTCTTTGCAATGGCTTGGGATGTTTGGAAGAAGTTTACCAAAATTTTGAGTTCCAGCCTCTAACTAGAAAGCTAATGAGAATTTTTTGCCTTCCAAAGTTGATATTGAGGTGTGCAAAATCTCGATAGAGTAGTGAGGTGGGGTCTAATACCACGGTTATGTAAAAGAAAACAGATACTATTTCGCATCTATCATTATGCTCTTCTTCCTTGATTGACTCCCTTTATCATTTGCATCGTTTCACTTCCGACGTCTCTTTCTTCTTCATCAACACAATATTACCCCGTGTATCATCGATCAAACTTATCTATATTTGCAAAAAAATTTAGGGGGCGTTTGGTTGGTGACCTGAAAACAATGAATTTAATGAAAAACAGAATTTGTTTTATTTGTTTTCAGTGTTTCATATATATTTTTGGTAACAGATTTGCAAATTAAAAATTATGTTTAGTAGTATATTTGTAAATTAGTGTAGTTGTCAACTAGATATTTAGTTCAATTTAAAATAATATTAATTAATTTAGTACATGATAACATGTGGGATGAGGATTCGAACTCAGAATCTCTTGATCGGAGAATAGGAACCTAAATGAGTTGAATTAGATTCAAGTTGGTATTTATCATGTTTAATTGAAGTTTATATATCACTAAGAAATGTATTTTTTTTTTCACTTCATACCTATGGTATGAGGGTAACTACCAACAAAAATGTAATCCAAGTTCTAACCAATGTGAACTTGAACTTTACTTGTATTCCAAAAAAAAAGAATCACTCTTTTGCATAGTACTTTTGGGAGGAAGAATGTCCACATTTTTAGAATATGTTCTTTGTTCTTATGGGATATTGAAATAAGACAACCCTTGAGCTATTTGAAAGTCCATTTCGAGGCTAAATTTTCGTCTCCTTTTCTATTGCTTAGAAATTCTTGATAGACACATCGTATCATCAATAGGGTGACAAATGCATTTTTCGAAAAAATCAAATTTTAACTCAACTTTTTCTTTTTCTTCTCGAGTAAAACAATTTAAAGGTTACTTGAATGAACTATGACCAACAATATCAATCAACATTCACTAGTCGTAAATAGAAATGAGAGTGAGAATTTGGTATTTACCCAAGTGAAATTAATTTATTGATTGTAAATTTCGTACTAAATTATACCTCAATCCAAATTCCAAATCCACGAATTCACTAATTGGACGGCAGAGCATGTAAAACCTAGTCAATTGAATGGATGGATAGCTGCTTAACTAATTACTAGCATACATCGACAAACTCACAAACAGATCAAAATTGAGAAAAGGTGGTTAAGCGAAAATATAGGACTCGTTTGGTAACATTCTCGTTTCTAATTTTCTTAAGAAATCTAAGTATTTTTCAACTAACTTTGTTTCTTGTTTCTCTTTTTTTTGGAACATTTTCTAAAGAAATTTTGGAAACAACCCAAATTAGTTTCTCCATTCTGGTTCTCACTTCCAATTTGTTCCAAAACATAAATAAAAAAATGGTTTTATCATACTTGAATTTTTAGATGTTGGAACGATACATTATTCTTCATTAAAAATAAAGAAACAAAAACAAAAAAACAAGAACGTTACCAAAAGAGCCCGTAGCGATTCATCTATTTCGCCGTTTTCTGAAAAGATTTATGTTTCCAATCCTAGTTATGGGCAAGTTGCAATTGTTGGTTTCATTATCCACAGTCCACACTACTTTATGACATTGGGATTATGGGAATGTAACAAACTTCACCCTCTCCATAAGACATTAAACAGAACAAAGAAAAAGCAAACACATTTCAGTTATTTCATGTCTACTAAGTAAGTCCCTGCTGGTATATTATAAAATAACAATCCTTCCAGTTCCTGACGAAAATTCCCCATTCTGAAGCTACGTAAGCACCACATTCACTTTCCACATTTTCTGGTGAACTGTATGGAACTCAAAGTTTCCTCACTCTCAACCCGAAACCATCCCTCTCTATGGAGTAATTTCTAAGCAAATTGTATCCCTAAAATCAAGAAAACTGTATGATCAATATCATTAATAATTGAAAAGGTTACCAAGTTGGTTCAGTTGGGTTCAAATTGGTCCAGTTCAATTTCTCCCACCTACACCATGTCTATATAAGCTGCAAACACATGCATTCCCAGATCAACCCAAGCAACAGCTTGCTTATCCATATTACTCATACCGCAATTGAACAAGTTTTCAAAAGCACTATGGCCATTGTCAAATTTCTCATGGTTCCTCTTCTTCTGTTTGTTCTAGTTTCAGGATTGGCCGAGAGCTTTGAATTCAATGAGACGGAATTAGCATCAGAACAGAGTCTATGGAAGCTGTATGAGAGGTGGAGTAACCACCATACAATCTCAAGGGACCTAAAGGAGAAGCACAGACGTTTCAGTGTGTTCAAAGAGAATGTGAACCATGTGTTCACAGTGAACCAAATGGAAAAACCCTACAAGTTGAGGCTGAACAAGTTCGCAGATATGAGCAATTATGAGTTTGTGAACTTATATGCTCGCTCCAATATTAGCCACTACAGGAAGTTATATGGCAGCAGAAGAGGAGGTGCTGGTGGATTCATGTATGAGCAGGTTACAGACCTTCCTCCATCCATTGATTGGAGGGAAAGAGGAGCTGTCAATGACATCAAGGAACAAGGCGTTTGTGGTATAGTTTCCAATTCTGGATATCGACCTTTTCTTCATTTATAAAATGGTTGATTACTATAAACAAAATTTGATAGTTTTGAGAGTTCTCTCTATTAGATTATGAAAATTTGAAAAATTAGGAGGTCAATGAAAAGCATTCTGCGATTAAACTTGTATAATGAATTTTTGAAATCACAAGTAATTCAATGATTTTGAAAAATGTTGCAGGTAGCTGTTGGGCGTTTTCGACTGTGGCTGCAGTTGAAGGAATCAACCAAATCAAAACCGGCCAGCTATTGTCTCTTTCAGAGCAGGAGCTGCTGGACTGCAATTTAAGGAACAGAGGTTGTAACGGAGGATTCATGGAGATCGCTTTTGATTTCATAAGTCGAAATGGTGGAGTTACCACGGAGAACAACTATCCCTACCATGCTCAAAGAGGATTCTGTCGCCTATCGAGAGTCAGTTTGATAATTCATCTAACTTCGTCAAGCAATTCAAAATTAAATCATAGTTCATCCTTTTGGAAATGATCAAACTAAGCATATATTTGTTGGATTTAACAGAGGAATTTACCGATAGTAACCATTGATGGATACGAAACCGTACCTGAAAACGAGAATGCTCTGGCGCAAGCCGTCGCAAACCAACCGGTCTCAGTCGCCATAGACGCCGCTGGAAGAGATTTCCAATTCTACTCGGAGGCAAGTTCCTAGTTCACTCGAGCAATCGATTGCTTCATCATAACTTAAAATCATACTTGCTATGCCTACAAAAACTTCATCCTTTGTAATCGAAATCCGTGGCTAAATTGCAGGGAGTGTTCGATGGGGAATGTGGAACACAGCTTAATCACGGAGTAGCGGCCATCGGATATGGAACAACCGAGGACGGAACAGACTTCTGGATCGTGAGGAATTCATGGGGAGTCGGATGGGGAGAGGAAGGTTACGTAAGGATGAAACGAGGAGTGGAGGAGCCAGAAGGTCTGTGTGGTATAACCATGGAAGCCTCCTATCCCGTCAAGCTGTAAACCAGAAGCCCAAAATAAACCTTACTTTAATTTCCATATAAAAAGGGGATGACAAGTATTGAGATCCCTACCATATGTTTGATGAATTGCTTTAATGAAATTTAAAACCTAGCATTATCTTATAAAAATATTTTAGTCCTGTTTGATTGATCTCAACAATAGACTTAAAAATACAGAAAGTATCAATAATAAAAAAAATTAGGTTCAAATATTATTTTGGTCCCGTTTGGTCTTTATACTTTCAAATATTCATTTTGGTTTATGTATTTTTAACTTTTAGTTCATTTTAATCTTTAACTTTCAAATCATTTGCTTATTTACAAAATTTTAACACTATCTTAACACAGAAACTCTTTAATATAAAATTATAGTTACATTTTACAAAATATATTAACCGTATTGTCATGTTGAAATTGTAATCGGAAAATGATATTAAAAAAAATTAAAGAGCCAAACGGTCATTTTATTAAAGTATAGGACAAAAACACACATTTTTAGGGTATAGTAATTAAAATGAACCAAAGTTAAAAGTACATTAATCAAAATGACCCAAAGTTGAAATTACATAAACTAAAATGAACCTAAAAGTACTCACCTGAGACTCGGTTGAGGGAGTTCCGTGAGCGAGGAGAAGAGTCGGTAGCCGTTAAAAAGAAGAAACGAAATCCACTCTAGAGCTAGGACTTCTATGTCTAGCTTGAGGGTTGAGGAGAGTCCTTTTAGTTAATCTTAGCTGCTACTCACGCTACTTATCCCAGCTCTAAAGGTAGCTACTTACTCGATAACGAAAGTTGAGAACAAAATAATATTTTAACATTAAAATTATTAGATTTTACAATATTGATTACAAATTAAATAAAAAAAAAAACAGCAACGTTCCAAATTGTGTAGGTAAATAGGTCGTTACACCCACATGTAAATAATTTGCAATTTGGTGAGCATTGTTTTATAATGGAAAATGGGAATGGTATGGAGAGAGTGGGGGCCAAGACAAGACGGCACTCTCGACACTCGGCAGTCGGTTTGAGCGGTGAAAGTGACAAAGTATTTGACATTGCCAATTTGCCAGTTTTGGTAACAAAAAGTTGGTCAGCCAAGGCCCTACACTACTACTCTCCTGCTTTGCTTTTCTCTCTGCACACCTTTCACCTCACCCTCACACTGCCCTAATACTAAAATCCTAATCCTAATCCTAATCAACAAGGTTTGTTAGTAGTATTTCATGAAATGTTCTTTTTTCCCTCAATGTATGACAAAATTAAACACATCAAAACCCCTACAAATTTGGAACATCAACAGACCATTACACAAATTTGCAATGTAATGTACCCACACCCATATCCAAAAAACTAATTTAATTAAACATATGATAAATATACTACAAAGCATTATAAAAATAAAATCTCGAAAGGATGAAAAAGAAAAACCAAGGGAGTTCCAGTTCCACCTACACAACCTCCTAGACCACCATGGAAATATCAACAAACCCTCACCCTCAAATCCCTATGCTATGTGAGAGAGAGAGAGAGAGAAACCCCACCCCATCTCTCACCTGAGGCGGATATTCGAAAGAAAGCATACAATATATTATCAAGAAACCCCCCATTAGAGAGAGAGAGAGACAGAGAGGTGATGGATGGTCAGTAAGTTAAGAGCCGAGCCTTGTGTGACGCGATAAAGACGGCTCCCGACCTCCAACGCTACATTTTCATTTAACCTTTGTGTTTGTGGTTTTTGTACACTCGCACAGACATCCTCTCTCAAACCCATAACCCCCATTTCCCACACTTTCTCATCTCTCCCTCGCTTCCCCGTTACCATTATTTTCACCGCCGCCACCCAGCGGCGCCTCCGATTCATCCGCGGCCTCCTCCGTCATCGCCGCCTTCAACATGCATGTCACCGGCGACGGCAACAGGCTCCGTCAGTTGAACGCCGTCCCGAGGAGGCGAAAACACCACCGGCAATTCATACTGCTCCATCTCCCTCGGAAACTTTGAGTTCCTAAAATGCTCCTTCAGTGCTTCTAATCCCTAAGAACACAAATCAAAAACGCGGTTTTAACTTTTAAGATGCAACTTCTTTAGAAATTAACTAGGCCAAACATATGATTTGATTATGACCCACCTGAAGTCTAGCGTAGGTAACTTGGCAGATTTTTCTGGAGTTGAAAACTTGCCAGGGTTGAAGATGCAAAGCTTTGTACAATCTCCAGGCTCCTTGGGGGGAGGTCATATTCACAAACCCATATCCAACGTTGCATTTATTCCTGCATTTTGGTCATCGGAAATCAAAAGAAACAAAGAAATTATATTAAATTTTTAAAATATACACAATATTCGGCACATAAAGAAATGAACCAAAAAATAAAAAAATAAAAAATAACAAGAAATGACAGATGAAGAAAGAAGATAGTCACTTGAAGTCAATAGGAAGATATACGAAATCATAGGAGGACAAAGGCAGGTCCTTGCCATCGTTGGCTATCTCTTCGTTCCACTCCATGCATTGCTTGTCCAGCATCTTCAGCAGTAGCTTCAGACTGCCAATTTCATGTTATTCCCCATTAATCTATGCCTTCTGCTCATAATTCTTGTCTAGGCCAAAATTAATCTCACTTTCACCCCAGTTCTGAAATTATTTTGTCGTTTGTTTCAAAATAGAAACAATTTTTTTTTTTTTAACCTTTGACTAGGGGTTTGAAAACGTTTTCAGAGTATCAACAAGGAAACTCTTGAGCTTGTTTCTTCAAAATAGAAATACTTTTAAAGAATGAAAATGAAGACTAAGTTACTAACCTGTACTTGTTGGGTATGTTCTTGATCATAACAGTGGTCCTGGAATCTCCGCAATCGGATTTTTCATCTTCCATGGCGTTTTCGCTTATTGAGAAGCGAGGATCGCACTTCTTCAAGAAATTGTTCTTCCTCAACCTAATACTAATCCTGGGTTGAGGTTCTTGTTTTAAGGCCGGTGGAGACTGCCTATTGATAATCTTCTTCGTGTTTATCCTCCTCGAAGTGCCGACTGAATCCCTTCTTTCAATTCCATTACCGCCATTTCCACTGCAATTCAATGGCTGCAACTTGTCCACAACGTTATCCGCGTAATTAAAGCTCCGACCGTTCACATAGTGCAATTTTTTGGGGGAAAATTGAGCTTGCGAATAGAATGGGCGATGAGGCCGAGCTGGAGGAGGCTGCTGCTGGTGTCTACTACGCAGTGTTCCGGCGGCGATCATGGGATTGAAGAACTTCCGGCTATGTCCGCCGGGATGGCTGAACTCAACGACCACCGGCTTGCCGTGAATTTCCTTGCCGTTCATCTCTTTAACAGCCCTCGCGGCGTCTCTCACATCGAAAAACTCGATGAATCTTTGATGCTTCTTCAATGGCGTCTCCCTCAATTCCTTCACAAGACCTTACTCCAAATAAAAAGGAATCATTAAAGTGCAATAGGAAAATAGGAAAGGCAGAAACAGAAACGACCCTAAAAGAAATTAAATGACAAAAATATCACAAAATAAGTACTGTATCAACACATCATGCATCTGACAGAGACCAGAAAGTAGTGGAAAGAGACACTACACATCGGATTTATTCACCAGAGCCCCCACAAAAAGTCCCCACCGAAACAAGGAGTGGCGGAGGGGGAAGAGAGAAAAATTACCAAAACGCTGGAAGATTTCTTTGAGAGTAGAGGCGGAAACATCCGAATCCAAATTGAAAACCACGACGGTGCCCTGGTTGTTCCCGTCCGGTACGGCGGTGTTACTCGCCGGAATAACGAATTCGGCCCACACGGGATGGCCGCCGATTAGGGCACGAGCCAGCCGCGGCGGGGGACCGAAATTGTTCTGCGGAAACCAAGAATGGTCGTTGCGGAATTGCTTTTGACGCAGCGAATGTTGGATCCTCATCTCTCGCAAGGCCCTTTCTGCATGCCTGAGATTGTAAAAATGGACGGTCACGATTCCATCCCCGATTCTCTCCATCTGAACCCCTCTCACATCTCCGAACCCTTCCAAATCTCTGCGCACCACTGACTCGCTCACGTCACTCGGCACCGCGCTCAGTAACAGCGACCGAGTCGGACACGGGGACAGAGGCTGAACCTGCGGCAGCACAATTTCCTCCAATGGATTCACATACGCCGCGTTAACCGGAAACTGGGGAGTATAGGTTAACGCCGCGCTGCCAAACGGTTCGTTCACCGGTGGCGGGAACGAATAATAAACATGGCGGAGCGGCGGCCCGAAGACGGCGGCCGTGACTTGTGTTGGATTCGTGTAATTTCCGGGTCTGAACTCTTCGGCGCCCGGGTCTAGATTTTTCTGTAGCCGGACTGTACCAGTTGCTCCCATGGCGAACTAGAAGGGCTTATAATGAACGCCGGCGGGAAAGACCCGAGGCTCGTTAAGTCGTGTTCCGACGATGGCCGCTTGACGCAATCCTTCTCCAGATTCCAAGACAGCGAACAGTAGCCGTCGTCTCTCTCTCTAAAATTCTCTCACTAAAAAGTAGAAACCCTGTTTAATTCCGGTGGACAAAAAGCAGAGAGTGAGGGTTTGGATGTTTCCTGTTTCTCCACCTCCGTTTCGAAGGAGGAAGCAGAAGTTGCGAAAATAAAGCGCTTTGGAATGAACATGTCCTGGGGGGAAATTACGGGAGCGCCCTTGAGGGGTAGGGAAAAGCAATGGACCGTACGAATGTCTGGGAAGGGCAAGGAGAGGGACAGAAAGGTAGTAGCGCCACGTCTCACGTCTCACGTCTCAACGTCGCGCGTTCGCCAAAAAAACAAGACGTATAATAATTGCGATTGTACCCTTTTTATTTGCTTTCCTTTTTGTTTTCTTTCCGTTTATACTTTTTCTTTTTTTTACGACGCCTCGTAATTCCCTTGTTTTTCCTTTTTATTTTCTTCTGTATCTTCATACATTTATTTCATTTGTCCGACTTCTCTACGACTTTCAAGGCAAAAACACTTTCTATAAAATTTCACTTTTTTTTCTCTCTTGCAAGAAATTTGAGTTGATGGTTTGGTTTTCAAAACCTAAATTTATATTATTTAATGTAGAAAACTTAAATTTGTGTAATATGATTTTATGTGTCTCATATTTCATGTGCAAGCTTGTGACTTTCAAGTGGGAATATATATTTTATAACCTTGAATTGCATTGAATCCTATAGTAAACTGATATATAACTGAATAAAAGAAAACATGCACGTGATAAACATAGTGTTGATATATTCATGGATGACCAAATCATAAAGTTTGTGATGGCGATGTATTGAGATCTAGGTGGTTAGTTATAGAAGTAAAAATAATTGATCTTTTCATGATCACATATTTGAGAGACATACTATTTCCTAATACATGTGAGACTTTATAAACCCAACAATAAGAGTCTGTCTTGAATCTATATTTGGGTTGAGTCTCCATCATGACCCAAAAAAAACATGAAAAAAGTGTAACTTCCAGTGGGTGGTAAATGAAACAACGTAATAATGCCATGCTTACTAAATATAGAGTACAGCACGCCCATTTGAAAAACTTGAAGCTATGCAAAAAATAGGGTGTATGTACCCGCAGTCCCTTACCAAAATAAAAATGACAAACTTAAAGGTATAAAATAAATTTTACATATAGTATGAGTGAGAAATAAAATGTAAAAACTAAAAAGGGGGGATGGGAAATGAATTTCGAATGGGGTACATAGCCCTAGGATAGGAAGGTAGGGCACCTTTTTGGAGGGGATCAGGGCACAGCGCCAGGGCTATGTATGGTAGGGGAAGCATAGCTCTGCTCGGGGAGGATTTGCTTCTTCTTCATCTCTCCAATATTACTTTTCTTTTCGTCTCTCTGCCTGCCCTGCTCCTCCCTCAACTTCCTTGTTCAACTCTTACTAACATGTATTACGTTTTCGTCTTATAGACATTATCCATCCACTTATTTTACGGAACAGTGGTCTGATCCTATAGTAATTAGTATCGAAAAACACATAAAAATTAATTTCTAATATAGATAGCTGGAGATATATGTCAATTACTGCTGAATTATGTTATGTTTCACATAAATCTAATGTTTGATTTTTTAAAAAAAAATTTTCTTAATATTAAATAAATTTCGTATTCGAAAAAAAAAAATTTAACTATTTTCACTTTACCAATTTTTATTTGCTATGTTCTTACAATATAGTTGGTATCTTTATATTTTGAAAGATATCTATAAAATTAATTTTCATTTAAAAAAATGATCATGTGTATATGACATTTTTTCCTAGTAGTTATAGATATGCCAAATAAAAAAAATGTTATTTTAAGGAAATTAAGGGAATAGATTTTTTTTTTTATTTGGTAGAGGGAATAGTGAGTCTCATACGAGGAACTTTAAATATAAAGTAATCAATTTTATCACATCATATAAATTTACACGTAAGTAAGGTTCACTTTATATATGTTTATCATGTCAATGAATGGTCTCATAAACTACCGTTAGAACTATTTTTAAATTCCGAAATTAAATTTTAAGTATTGATTTTGCAACGTCATCATCATGGCTAAATAGAAATAAACTCAGCTTTCAATGAAAAATAATATAATTAGATTTTGCTCCATGGTTTCTTGTGATTCGCAGATATTATTTGTGCTAAAAGACTAAAAAAATAACAGGTAAGTAAATATCTTTTATTAACCACCGTTATATTTTGACAATTGTTAGAAATTAATGCATAAAGGGTGAGATATAAAAGAGAGATCTTTTCCTTTTTCATAAATATTTTAATGGCGACTGGTAATTAAGAAGACATGCGTACCCAAGTAGTATTATTCACTGAATATAATATATATATTAGGCTAAATATTTATTTTAAGTTGTCAGGTTTATTGACGAACCGTTGTAAAAAGACAATATACTACGAGACAAGTCCACGAGGACAGAATTTTGAATTCACAGCCATCCGCGAAGTAGTTATATATTTTATTCAAAACTAAAGTTTAAGCTTAATTKATCGTAATTGTTACTGCCTATAAATTGTAAAATTAYGCCATCAAAACTGGAAAACACATAAAATGTTTAGAGGAATAAGCCATTTCCATGGAAAAGAAAATCCAACATGAATTTCTCTCTAACCGTATGATAACATTGTAGCCCAGTTGTAAAGGTCCGCCATTTACTTATACTATGGTCAAATGTTTATGTGATAACAAATCTTAATTATAAGATAAACTATAATAAAAATGAAATGAATATATGAGTGTTTGTTACCAAACGAGTTCGATAATGGAAAAATGAGTCTATGTTAACCTACATATACAAGCATTTGCAAAATAAATCATTTAAATAAGGAAAAATGGTATTTTTCGCGAATTACAATGTAAGAATGGGATTTTCCTATTTAAAAGAGAGTGGTTGGCATTTTAGCATGGTGTTGTGTGTTGTGTGTTCCCCATTAACACTAACATGAGGAATTAATTAGGTGATGCCCCACTCTCCCTCTCTCCAGAAAGGTACGTTCCTTTTGTTTTCCACCCACACCCTGTTTTCGGGAGTTTGATGGTAAGTTACAACTATACGACAAACCTAATATTCAATTATTTATGCCCTATTTCAAACCGACATCAAAATAACATGTGTAATACATCAATTATATATATATATATATATATATATTATATATTATATATTAGAGACCTAGTCCCTTTTTCTGGGGTACAACCGGGTCGAATGAGTGAATTGAACTCACAATCTCTTGATTAAATATATGTGTCAATTGCTGTTTGGCTAAATTCAGAACAAGTTTGATAAAGTCTTTTTTTAGAAAAAAAAAACAAAATGTCAAATTGATAAAAATGATGCACCCTTTAGAAACGTACAAACAAATTCCTTAACCAATGTAAAATTTTATTCGCACTTCTTACAAACGTAYTCTACGGTAATTATACTGAAAAAATTCAATTAAGAAAAGAAAGGAGAGACAGCTCATATATGTCTCTCCTATAAAATATAACGAATGATCTAAAAAAATCCCATAACAAATTTCACTCCATGCATAAATTAACATACGTTTTAAAAAAGTCACAACTTTTTTTTTAATATAACATAAACTTTAGTATATTTTATCTTGAATTTAACTAAAAATTTCCAACTTGATGCTAATTGTGAAAATATACATTCATTTTATGCTATTTTTATATCTTTATAATTGGACTAAATCTTAAAAAAAAAATTCAGAAGTATACAGATATTTTCTCTAAAAAAAACTAGAACCAACTACGTACTATAATTTGTTGGAGAAGAAAACATAAACCCGTGGATTAGAAATGATTTTGCAAAAATATATTTTATAAGAACTCTCCATTAATAGAATTTGTTAGATAAAGATTTTAAATTGAAATTAGGGTGTTCGAAAAGTGCCTGTGCAGCTACCCTATAATATGGCTGCCAAGCCCCTGCCCTGCCGCATGGCCTTAAGTTGTTCCATTTTGGTAGGTCTTCTGAACTACTATTAGTATTGCCTTCACTTTTCAGTGATCCCATATGCTAACTCTGCTGACTGCTGCGCCACATATATATTAATATCTACATCATAAAAAATAATTATATTCCACACACCAACAAAATTCTAATAATACTACTAACAATACCATATATGTTTAATACTATATCATATATGTTTAATAATATACATTACACACTTGTAGACATATATCAGTGGAAATTCCAAACTTTAGTCTAAAAAAATCTCAACCAGGGGAGGTTAAAGATTAATAAGTGTTCTAAATATATATATATATATATTCTGCACAGATTTTAAAAGAAAATTCGATATTCACGTGAGTGTATGTACATAAATTTAAAAGTAGTATTTTCTTAGTGCATTTTGCATGACATTCTAATTTGAGTTGATATTTTGAGTTCGAGTTATGGGAATTATGCTATTTTTTAAAAAAWTTAAACTGTGACTACATTTGAAAATGCATATTTTATGTTCGTTATGTAGAATTTGCTATATATAATAAAAAAGAGTTAACTTGTTTTACAGGGTTTGTTTGGGCCTGGTTTGTCCCTATTTCACTGCTGGTTTGTTTAAATAATTCCCAATAGAGAATCGATATAAACTTGGATCCGTCCAAATGTATGGTGTTTAAATTGARCACCCGCGATATCGCTATAAAACAAACTGTATAGAACTGAACTGGAACTGGACGCCTTTTGTTATGAAATCAAAATTGAGAACAAATTACGAAAATAAAGACGACAAATTCATGGAACCCTCACTTTATTATTTCATTTTTATTCGGATTTACATTCCTCAACACACAGGAATCTCTCGAATACTTAGAAGAAGAAAAAGCCGGCGATTGCAGCCACGCCAGCGACGGCGGACATCTTCACAGCCGAGGCAGCGCTCTTGGGCGATTCGGCCGGCACTAAGTCACCTCC